TATTCTTCCAATAAATTTTCAGGTATTACACCATCATTATTTGTTGAACAATACTCCTTTACAAAATTTACCTTATTTTCACTCATATATTAACTTAAATATGTAACATATTCAGGATCATGAAATTTCTTTAATTCCTCTAGTTATGCTTCTCTTATCAAATATACATCCAATGATCTATATAGTCTATCTTTATATATATTCTCAACTACCCAAAATTTACTATTAAGCTATGAGCCATTGCAATACGTTTTGGTTTCATTGGATGCTCCTTACCATAATGAAATTTCCCTATCAGTCTATTATAAAAGTATGCCACTCGTCTACTTGAATCTGAATCAGCTTAAATCATATGTTAATTATTTAATTATTATATTTAATTTATATTTCAATAAATGCTATTTTAAATTATATTATATCTATAATTATTTTATTAGATATTCATAACAAATTCAAAATCAATCGTATTATTTTGAAGTAAAATACAAAAATATATATTCATAATCGCTAACTGAAAGATCTTTAAGCTGAATCTATGTATTAATGAAATAACATTTTAGGGGGTGATCTTCTAATTTTATATTCCAAACTTTTATCAGAAAATTGAATAAATTTATTCGTATATTCATCCAAACTAAAAATATTAATCATTTTACTAATCTGTTTCATTTTGTTATTTTGTAGGACTTAATTCATGTCCAAATTTTATCTTACAAAATGAATATTATAACACTTTTGGTAATTAAACAGGATTGAGCGAATTCTAATTTGTTTATTGTTACTTTTAAGAACTCTAAGATTAATTCAATTATTTTTTTGATGATTGAGAATATTTTTCAATAAAAGATAAATTCTTTTAACTCTCTATCTATTCCAGCTATTCAGTATGAAATTAATAAACATCTAAAAAACTATCATAATTATTTGAATTATCTCCTATTCTTTGAGGAGAAGGATTAGTTAATTAAATTTTCTTATCTGATTTTAAAATCTTAGAAGGTTTAAATGATGGATATTTAAAAGTTTGTTCATTCAAATAAATCTAATTATCCTTTATAATATGCTTTATTTCTTTTTTCTTTTTTTGTAAAGTAACTTAATCAACTTTGTATTTTGGTAAGATTTAGAATATATCAAATTTTTCTGAGCTTATCAAAGCTTTTTCAGCGAAAATCTTAATTGAATTAAGGGAAGGTCTCAGTTCAGGATCATAACAGAGAAGTATTCTTAATAAATTATTTAAATTTAGACTATATTATGGATGATATATGAATTTAATCCCTTTTGATATTTATTTATGTAAAACATTTATATTATTTGCTTTAAAAGGCTATTCCTTAAACATTAATTAGTAAACTAAAACTCCAAGCATCCAAATGTCAGATTTACAATCATAAATTTTTTATTTTACAAATTCTGGAGCCAATAAATATATATCTTAATAGTTTTCTTAATGAAGATAATATAAAATATTCATATCACCCAATATAGTAGTCTTTTGAGAACAAAATAGATTTGATAAACTTATTTTGCCATGAGGATGTTTAGGATGAAATAATTCAATCGCTGAACAAACCTAATAATTTTCAATTTAAAATACCTAAATTAGAATATTAAGAATTTCTTATTCATTCAAAGGACATTGATACTGGGTATCGATAAATTAATTGATAACTCTATTAAATTATATATCAAAATACCCTAAATAAGTATTATCTGCATCATGAGAGGCTTCGTAAAATTTAACTAAATGAGGATTACAAGTCTTTGATAGTTTATTAATTAATTATATTAGAGAAGTTACTTTATCTCTATTAATTCCTTCTAAACTATATAATCTCAAGATGTAAGGCTTATTAACTCTTTTAAGGATTATTGTTTTTTTATATTTATTATGCCTAAGCACTTCAACCATTGTAAATTATGGATATAGATTTTCAATATTTTTCTTTAATGATTTCATCATTCTGTTGTGATTATAATTTTATTTATTATTATCAAAGTTTTAGAATTCTTCAGTACATTTGCTGAGATATTTCAAATTTTAATAAAAAAATACATACCATAAATAAAATTTTAGGTAAGTTTCTCACTTTTCTGTTAAACTTTTGTAAAAGTGAAATAAAGAAGAGAATAAAAATAAAAAATAGGATTTTTATTAATGTCACAATTTAAATAGTTCGAAGGGATAAATTGTTCTTTTAGATTACAAAATTAAAATTAATAGCAAATTGAATAATCTTGAATTTTGAATTTATAATTGCCTAATATTAATAAATAAATTTTTTATGATTGTTATATTAATTTTAATGTAAATAATTACTGGTGATGAAACAGGATTATTGAAATTAATAGATTTAGATAAAAAAGAAGTGATAAAGAAATATGGAGAATAAGGAAAGTAATTTAAAGTTATCTAAATCCTTACATTTAAAATATAAGACATTTGCTTTTTCTTAATTTTAAGGGAGGAAAGTTTAGTATTATTGGACAATGAATTAAATGAAATTGCTTAAATTAATATTGATTCATCACCATTAAAATGCTTTTGTGATTCAAATCATAATATCTATATAATTTATGCAAATAGATAAATAAATCATGTTTAATATGATTAAGATCAAAACATGTTTCTTGAATAAAAAACATTAAACTCTAATGATTTTTTACCCCTAAATAATTGTAAAGATAAATATGTAACATCTGCTTCTATCTCAAATGATTAAACATAATTATTGATAACATATTGTGGAGCTCCACCATCTATTTTTAATTTAAAATAGAAAAAATTATAATGGTAATCAAGAAATGTTAAAAATGATGAATTAGATCTTTAAGTTAAAATGCATGATTATGATGGATTATTCTTAGATGATTATTCTGTAGGAGTCATTACAATACATTAAACTCTTAGAATTTATAATATTCTCTAAGAAAAATCATAACCTATTTTCGAGCATTCCTTAAAACATTCTAAGACCAAAGTGAAAATAATAAAAACTTACAACTAAAAATATTATATGATAAATGAAAGAGGAGAAATTTTAATTTATTAAAAAGACTTTAAATTTGAAAGAATGATTAAAGGCACTTTTGGAGCTGTTAGAGATGTTACATTTAATAAAGATTATATATACACTGTTAGCATAGATCGCTTTTTAAGGTTTTTATTTTTGATTATTTTAGGGTTTATCATATAGAAAATGTAAGAATTCCCCTTTCCATTAATTTATCTCAAAGATTAACAGCTATCAATTTCTATTGTTCAGAGTATAAAGATATTGAAATTGAAAAAAAGGAGGATAAAATTTGGACAATTTAAAATGGAAGAGAAGCAAAAGCTAGATTTGCTGGAATGAGAAGACATACTATTAAATTGCCATATTTAGAGAAAATGTTCGAGAATCATAAATAAAATAAAATAAGAAAAGAACAATAAAAATTGAAACAAGAATAATTAATAGATGTTAAATAAGAATATGATGAATTAGATTAACAATCTAAATTTAAAAGTATTGAGAATAAAAAAATAAAAAAATAAAAATTAAAATAAAAGATTCTTGGTTTAAAGAAATCAAAGTTACTTATAAATAAACCAAATAGAAAAATAAAGTGAATATTTTATTTTTTATGTTTAAATTGTTAATAATATATAAATTATAATTAAATAAATCATAACTAAATCTATCAAAGATGAGATCTTAATTTCTTTTTAATTCTCGATTTAATCTGCTAATAATTATTAATCCAAAGATAATATTTTATCATTAACAAAATATATTTTTCAAAATGCAATAATTTTTTAGACTGAATTATTAAATAAAAAGTAAAACTTTTATCAATAAAAAATATCTTTGGATGATGAATACGATGAAAAAAAATTAGGTAAGATTAAAAAGAATATTAGATTTTTAAATTGATTGAATAATCAAAAATTTAACATTGATTTTAGTTTGCTAGAATAAACATTGTTGTAGAAGAAATACAAATAGAATTGAAAGGTAAATTTAAGTTCAAATAATTATTTTATATCCTTAAACGATTAAAATTTAAACTTTTAAGTAAAAAAAATTTATTTAAATGAAATATCTTAGCTTAAAAAATATTATTAGAAATTAATAAAAGCTTCACAGGAGAATAGATATTATTTAAATTATATAAAAAATAATGTCTATTCTCTTGGTCTGGCATATATTTATCTATTATTAAAATTAATAATGAAATTATCAAAAAATTATACTTTTTAGAATTGAAAAGGATATTTGATATTAGATTTATTGATTTAATATCAATCTTAAATATATATATATTAAGTTAATTCTATATAGTTCTTTAAAATATTTTATATTATAAAATATTATAATATAAAAATATTAATTTAAATAATTGATGGATAATTTAATATATTTATACTGAATCAAAACATAACCATCATAATAAATCCAATAAAGGCTAAAACATAAGAATAGCTACTAGATCCTGAGCATTCTGTACAAGCAGATCCATTCCAATAATAATATCCAGATGTAGAAGAATAACAATTAGTTGATGATAAAGCAGTAACATCAACAGCATCAGTACAAGCTTAGCCTGACCAAGTACAAATATTAACACCTGAGAAATCATCCAAACTTACTGTTTTACAATTCGCAGTAGATGCCAAATCAGAACAAGTTTATGCAGCACATGTATTAGAAGAAGAAGTCCATTTACATGGTAAAAATTCACATATTTCTTAGACTGTTATTGTTGAACATTTTGAAACATCAATTGATGAACATTAATTATTTGTATAGTAACATTTAGATGTAGAGTTTGGTACTTTAAAGTTGCAATCTGTTGAACTTGTAAAAGTTGAACATGTTATGGATCCTGTTTAACATGGAATGGTTCCATCAGAATTAGATGTTCCTGAAACACAAGTTGAGTCTTTTTAATTACATTAATCAGCAACAGTAACACTATAATTTGAACAGGCTGTGAAAGCATCACATTTTGAAGTAGAATCAGTCCAAGCACAACCATTTACTAAATCACAGCTTGATTATGAGGTTAATGTTGTGCAATCACTTGTTTTAGCATTACAAGTGGAATCAGTTGTTGACCATGTGCAATCACTTGTACAATCTGCTTATTAAACCAATTCTGTGCACTCACATTTGTTTGTGACACTCAAAGCTTATAATGAAATTGATATCAGAGCAATCAATAATATTTATCTATTCATTTATTATCTTATTTTTAGTATTCAAAATTTTATTTTTAAATTAGGATTTAAACCCCGACAGGTAAATCAATTTTTCTAAATTAAAATATTAAAATCAATTATTCAGTATTTTTTTTTTGAGGTTTATAAGCAATTTCATTCAGATATTTTAAAATTTTTTTAATTAAAAATATTGTTATCGGCACACTACTATTCTCTACACTTTCAAAATACTAAACTTCATCATAAAAAGTTTATATTTTTAATTATAGTTAACATTAAGCAATCTAAATCATCTTTGTATACCATACAATCATTCAAATTTCATGTTTTTTCATTTTTTTAACACAATCTTTCTCATTATCAATATTGATTAGATGGCAACTATAGTTCAAATATCCTGTTTCTTGTTTCATACAACTTTTTGAATCATTTGCTATTTATAGTACCAAGTTACTTTATAGACTATTCTATATTTTATTGCAGTATATAAAAATTATATATACTAAAAATTAATTTTATAGAATGTTCAATAAATTCTCTTTTTCACTAAACTATCAAATTTAATGTAAACTTTCATGTATATTAGGCCTCCTTCTTTTTCTCTTTATAATACTAACCGAATTACATTTAACAATTTAGAAAATTTCAAAGTTTAGTAATAATAAGAAATATAGAAAGAATAGAATAAAGATTGAATAATTAAATATTTAAGAAGTACCTAATTTTTCAATGATGAAAAACTCTTAAGGTCAAGTAGAATTTATTGAAACAATATAATGAAATGGTAAATTAATATAAGAAATCATAATAGATAGTTTGATTCTCAATTATACTTCCATCAAATTCAAAGAAATATTATGTTAATAATTCAAACAATTTCCTTGAGAATCAAAAAAAAATATATAAGTATTTAAAATTTGATAAACACCTAATTATTCATCAAAGGGTTTTAATTATATATTAAAAAATGAATTATTTGAAGAAATTAAATTCTTGATTATTAAATAAATTTCTTATAATAACTAGTGCAAATTTAATTAGTTGAAATTTAATCTTATTCATGGTAATAACCCATAGATCTGTTATTTTTAAGAGAGTGTTTGATTTTGTATTTATTTTTCTAAATAAGAATACTTACATGAATTTTATTAATATTGTCAAAATGCATTTAACCTAGAGTATAAGAAATGCTCTAACTCTTAGGTTTAACTGATAAAAAATAATTAAATATTAAATTCTAGACACCTTTATAATTCTTTAATTTCCAAATATTTGACAAATATTAAAAATTCTGGATAGTAATAATTTTATTTTAAGAAGTAAACTCATCAAATAAAATAAAAATTTTAAATATATATTAATTGCTATTGATTGATTATTTCGAATAATTGCTAAACAGTGGGTCTATCATTAGGATTTCGACTGAACAATTAAGATTCGATTAGTATTAATAATTAAATTTTTTATCTATCACATTTTTCAATAAAGTTTTTAATATAAAATCATTAGATTAAATCTTCTCATTTTAGATTATATTTAGCAACTGAAATTTCAAATATACAAGCTTGTTCAGTCTTAGTGTAAACTCATTAATTATTTTCTGTGAATTCTTCTCCTTCATATTCTACAAAAACATTTAGATATGATATTTCATCTAATTTATGGTTTTCATTAACTGATTCATGTTTAATTAAGCTATCATTTAAATGATTAAGCTTTATATCCAACATATATAATATCTAACAATATTTTTATAGTTAATTTCTTAAAGACCATTAATTTCTAAAAATTAGGAATGATCTGTAAAATTTTTTCATTTTAGATTTTGAAATAGATTTTTTTAGCTGCAAATTTTTTTAAGAGCAATTATTTTTAACGTTTAAATATTCAGAATGTTTTCTACTTAAATTTATCCTTATCTCAATTTAGATATGTAATTTGATATTTGTTTATTTTCTTGATTGATGAATAAAACAAAATTTAGTCTGATATTAGTTTGTACTATACATTGAATATTAAAGAATAATTTACATAACGAAAATAGACTGGAGAGATATGCAGTAAATTATTAAAACAGTATTTCAATAAGAAAAATAAAACAATCTATAAATCATTTATAATCCTTTTAACAATCACATTTAAGATTTTAGATCAAAAATATAAGAAAGTAGCAATATTAGGCATCATATCGTGCATCTAATTTAAAGAAATGTCATCAAAACATACCTAAAAAGAAATTATAATTAATAAAATGAAGAATTTTCAAATAAACAAATAGTTCTTTTTCTAAAATGAAGAATTTTTTTTAAGTAATTGAGAAAAATAAAATAAAGGTATAATAGCCAGAGAAGATAACTCACTCTAATTATATATTGTTATTCAAAAAGATTTGACTTTCTTTATTATAAAATATTCAAATAATTAAGATTTTTTTTGAAGAAATTTAATCTTAGAGTTCTAGAAAATATTTGATATGGAAATAAATTTATATAATTTCACATATTATACATACTATGACTTATTTCTTTAATTTTTTTAACACCAGTTTTTCCAGTAGGATGAATTTCTCTTATTTACTCACATTACTAATACCTTTTGACCTATTTTAATAATATAATATAATACATCTTCAATGTTGCAAAAAACTTTTCCATCTTTATCTTTTTTAAATACTTAATCATAAGCTGGAGTCATTTAATTTTAATATTATTATTATATGGGTTAATTCTATTAAGGGTAAGGTTGAGTATTAAGAGATTAAACATAGTTTTATTATTGAGGGTATTAAACTTGTTACCTTTAATCTTAATAATATTGGATTTGAGGATTTTATCCATATTATTAATATTATTATTACTATTAATATTATTACTATTAATATTATTACTAGTCTTATTAGACTTAATATTGTTAATATTATCTCTATTCATCTGTTTAGTATTAAATATTAGTTTATTAATTTATTTTAATGCATTTGGTTCTGAAATTGTTTTAAGCATTTTTAATGTCTTCATTGTTATTTAAAAATAATTCAAATGGATCTTAATTGTTTTATTGGTAATAGTTTATTGGTTATTCTGCTTAATAAGAGTTTGTCTAAATTTAATTTGATTGATTGATTAATTGATTCATATATTTAAATAATTATTAAAAAATAAATAAATAAATTTTTGTTAAGAACCTCATAATAGTATGATTTAAAATATGAAAATTAATAGAATTATTCAAAAAAAGTTTATTAAAGATAGAAATTACAAATATAATTGTAAAATAATGGAAAAATTATTGTTTATATTTCATTTGTTTGTGGAACTAGAATTTTGACTAGAGCCTTCTTTATAGTCTTTAGTTTTTTATTTGAGTGTTAAATAATCGGAAAGAATGGATTTCAACCATTTCCATGTTTATTTAAGTGATGGTTATTCTCTAAAAGAATTTTCAGGATGGCAAGTAATCACCATATGTAATAAAGATTCAACAAATTTATGTTCATGGGAATATTTAGATCTTCCTTAATATAATAGTACTTTATTTTTTGCAATTCTTCTGATATATCTTAATTTTGTTAATTACTTGTAATTAAATCTTATTCTAATCTAAGAATGGACTTTTATAACTCAATATTAATTTTTTATTATTAACTATTATGCATTATCTCATGATGTAATTTATTAGACAATTGATTTAATTCTTTATTTAATTCTTCTATACATTCAAAATCTTTATGTGAACTTTTTTATTATACTTCCAATTAATTTTTAAGATCTTTAATTTAATTGAGAAGTATTTGTTCTACCTTTCTCAATTTAACTATAACATTATTCAAATTTTAAATATCTTCATCTAAATTATTTGTTTTTTTTGGTATAGATCTACTACTCTTTTTTGTGAAAACAGAATCATTATTAAGAGATTTGTTAGCAGTATATGAATCTGTTGATATATTGCCTTCAGCTTCGCTCTCACGAATAGAATACAACATTGAAATTTTAACGAAATTTATTAATAAATATATAATGAATATTTTTAGGGCAATTATTTATTTTATCATTATCTAAATATACCTCCTTTTTTTAAGGCATTTTCAGCATCTTTAATGGCTAGTAATTCATTATCATATTATTAAATTAAGGTGTTATGTGATGCTGTTCTAAAAATAAATAATAATTCTATTATTAATACCTTTCAATCCATCTGTTTTATGTTGCATTGAGATTATCTTCAGCATCAGATAAATTAAGTCTTGCATCATTAAGAATTGCATTAAGTGCTTTAATTTCACCATCTTTTGTTTCAATCTCAGATTATAACATTGGAATCAAAAAATCTCTTATTCCTGTTATTTTTTCTTAGATTTCTGATAAAATATCTTATTGTAATTTAGATTAAGAATCAAATTGATTTTATAAAGAAGTTTATCCATCTATTAATGATTGTCTTAATTAATTCATATAGTTAATAACTTTGTTAAGGTTTTCTTAATCAACATAGCTATTCTATGCAATTTAACTGAGTGCTTTTACTAATGGTTAATAAAAAACTCTTTTAGATGAAAGTTATTTCAAACTATTTTTAACTTTATAAATACTGAGTGTGCATCTTTGATGAAATTTCTTTAATGTTTTCGGCTTTTTATAATAAGGATGTTTCATCTTTAACTTCATTTAATAATGCTATTGCTTAATCTAAAACTGTTATTGTATCTCCATATTCATTAAATTAACGAGTAAAAGTAGATTTATCTGAATTTATTTATGCTTCTTTTGCATTCAATAATTTTGTAGCATCATATAGATCTTATTTTGCTTCTGTTAACATTTATTATAATCTAGATCTTTCATCACTTAAATCTTTTACATCAACCTCTAATTAAGCAATCTGACCAAAATTTTAATACATAATCATACCTTATTCTTAAAGTCTGTAATTTAATTTTAATAGTATTGTACATCTGATTAATATTGTTGGTATTCTTGTTCATAAAATGCATTCTCTTCATTCTTTCTAGTTTTAAAAGATTCTGCTAATTCATCCAAAGCAACAAACAATTATTAGAAATTAAAATCTTTGGATGCTACTTCTGATAGTGATACAATAATTTATTAGAATGGATGTATTTAATCTCCAACATTTGACAATATTCCTTAGCTACATATGAAGATAGTTTATACTTGGCTAATGTCAAATACAAAAGAGACAAGGCAATGAATGTTTTCATATTTTAATTATAAATCCGTTTTTATGTGTAATATAAATTAAACTTGATAAAATAATTACTCATTTAATCATATCGATTTCTCATTTCTTCCAAATATTATTTCTTAATCAATTGTCATTATCAAATTGATCTAGATTTATTTATTTATATACAATTTACCTTTTTAATATCAGTATAAAACATTCCAATAAAAAATGAATTCATTAAATATAGACTATAAGACAAAGTTGAATAAATTTCACTAACCATATTTGCTATAAAATCTTCAGATGCACTTAAACCATCATTAATATTAGGTTCTCCTTAAGCCATAGGCATACCCATAAATAAACTAATAAAGTTAACAGATACAACTAAAAATATTATAATAGATTTACAAGCAGTAAATAAAAAGGAAATCACAGTAAATAAAGCAGCCTTTATTTATTGACTTAATGAATATTTTTTTAATTTATCTAGAATTTTCTATGATTGTTAATTCTACTTATAACACATATAATAGCTAGTAAATAGGAAATTCATGACAAAGGAGAATGTTAATAAAATTCTATCTTCAGTATCTAGAGTAATAATAAAAATATTAATAGTATTTTAAGATACATAAAAAGTTGGTTTAATTCTTTTATTCTATTGGAAGCAATGCAAATGCTAAAAATGCCAAATGAGCTAAAATTCCACTGAGAAAGATCTAAAATGAAAAAGGTTTTGAAGGAGCATATTTTAGAGTAAATCTTTATTTTTTAGTAAACTATTGATTTGCTTAATAAATGAAATAATAAATAAGGATGCCCATTAAACTTATAAATGCATTTCCGATCTAAAAAAGAGAATTATAAACTAATATACAGTAAATAATTAATTCTTTTGAAATGGTAACTCCAAGAACAGAGGAAAAGTTTAAGCTCTTGGATATTGAAATTGACTTAAAATAGCAGCCAAAAGAACGACGATTGATATTGATGCATACATAGGTGGCAAATAAGTAATTTGTTATTTCAAATTTGTTTATGTTTTTGCTATTGAATCTCTTTAATTGAGACTAACAAATGATTATTGTTCTTCATCTCCTGAGATTTCATTCAATATCATTGACACGTCAACCAAAACGATTAAATTATATAATTATTATATAGAAAAATCAAACCTTATAATTTTTATTTTGGCTTTTAGCATTACGACTATAGTTTTCTAGATATTAACTATCTAAGGTGAGATTTTTATAACCAATTGAAATATCTAATTTTTTGCCCTTTAAAGTAGATTCTCTCATTTTTGGTCTAAATTGAATGAATGTAATTACCTAGAGTTTGGAACAACTTAATATTAATTTAAACTAGGTTCAGATTCATCTTATTCTGTTTTAATTCGAATATCTTAAATATTACGTTTACCTGTAACAACTATACTATTATTGATATTAGAATTAATATTTATATAGTTATTATTTACTTAAGGTGTTTTCTTATAAAATGTTCCACCTATGCTATAAAATCATAAAATAATTACCTTTGATTATTCATATATTTTTATTAGGTAATTTTCAATATTTGTTGAATTTGTTTAGATCTATTTTTTTTTTCAGATGAAAGTGTTGGTGTAGCTCTAAATCCTAGATTAGATGGAGGTTTTGTGATAACACTTTCCCTTCCTTAACTTTAACTAGCAGCATTTAAAGATAGTTCTGTAGGTTTAATAATGGATGTATTAGAAATGTTAGTTGCTCCTCTAAGTTTCTACATTCTATATTATTAAAATTAATAACCTAGAGGATTTCAAGTTTGGTGCATAGTTGAATTATTTAGTTTTGATAGATTATTCATCAACAATAAGATCAGTTAATTTCATAAGTCTCTCGTTTAATACTTTCATGAAATTAGGTTGAGTGGCATCAGTCAATCGATCTAAGTTATCACAATTTAAATTATAGATAGTGACATCTTTTAAAGATTGTAATGAGGTATCAGATGAAGATTCATAATTTTCTTTAGGAAATTTAAATGTATGATTTATTTTGCAACTCTTAAATCTATAATTATATAGAATTCAAAAATACTTCATTTCTATTTCTAATTTGAAATCTTCAACTTCAGAATCTTCATCAGGCTAAGTTTTAGTAATTAATTCTAAAGGAGCTTATGGTTTAACGATTTTCTAATATATGAGATACTTCATGAGATCCTTATCAATATTTTTAGGCTATTGTAATTAGGGACTTTTAGATTTTTTATTTCTGTTGGACATAATCAAAATTAATTATAATTAATATAAGAATTACTCATGAATCAAAAATATTTTTGAGTTTCTCGTAATTTTGTATTTTTCTAATAATTCTAACATGAAATAAACATTAATCACAAATATAGAAAAGTAGTAATACAATATATTAGAGTTAAATATAAACAATAATTTAAGATTAAAAATATTAATTATTTTAGATATTAAAATGTTAAGTGGTTTATTATATAGTCCAAATTGGACCTTTGTTGATAAAATATTAAGAGACCCTTAATTAGTTGATCTTGAATACTTTGTTGGAGGTGGTCCAGGACATGATTGGCTAGCAAAAGTGGTTAGAGTAGACTAATAAAAGTAATCTAAATCTAAATTTATATTTATATAGATTTCTAGGTCCAAGAGCTAAATTTGAGAGATAATTCAATGAAGAGCCTAGAACATGGGAAGTATTTTCAGATAATTTTTATCGTCTAACTTTACTAGCTGGAGTTGAAAGATTGCTCACTCTTAGGTAAGCATATGGAGGTTTGAAGACAAGATTTACCTTTGGAGATTCTAATACGTATTCTATACTTAAATATTTAGAGCTTGTCTTTAATAAATATTCAATTAAGGATTATTCAAAGGATATTTTAGAGGTGCATTATTGAATGCTTTCTAATTTTTAACTGTTTGGGCTCATCCATTAGTATATAGCAGAGGTAATGGATATGCTTCTCATTATCTATACTCATCACTATTTGAGCTTATCACTTATCCCATTGATACAATAAAGACTATTATATATTCTGATATTTAAGGAAGATATAAGGGTGCTTTTGATGTTATTGAATAAGTAATAAAAATAAATTTAATATTTAGGTTTATGCTAGAAATGGATTCAGTCATTTTTATAGAGGAATTGTATTCAAATTAGCTTTTAATGGAACTTTAATCTATCATCTTAGAAATGTCTATGAATAAGATTATCTGTCTTAAGTAAAATCTTTTATTCTATTATTAGTTAATTTCAACACCTTTATTAGCTATTGGTTATGGATTCCTTACAATTAAGACAAGATTATAATTAGCAAGTACAGATTTAAGTTTTTAATAAACTAATTAAAAGGGTAGAATAGCTGCAAATCTATTTGCTTAAAAGACACCTTTTAGTATTTATAGAGGTGTTATTCCATTTTTGTTGTTAACTGATTTCTTCCACTACAAATTATATGCACTCTATTCATCAACTGCATAATCAAGAACATTAGATGAATTCCTCAATCAATATAAACATCAAATTGGAAGTCCTAAACATGAAAATTTATGGCAATGATTAAGCAAATAATCAAAAAAATGTCAATATAAAATTTAGATATTTATAAATTCCATTTTATTTTAATCTCTCTCTTTATTCTATTTCTTTATCTGTTTTTGATTCTTTCTCTCTCTTTTCTTATATTTTTACTTTCAAAATATCCAAGTTTTATCATATATAATTTAATGAAAATATTATATAATGTAAAATCGTTAAGAATTACAATCAAACCCTATTTTTCAATCTGTATGCAAATAACTCAACTTTTAACCTGATTAATTAGAACCATAAGGTTTTGAACAATTCTACTTAGCAAATAAAAATAAATACAATATGGATTAAGAAGGTATTATATTCAAATATTATTATAGCTTGGCTTATTTTATGGGAAGGATAAGAAGATAAAAAATAAAACAATTTAAATTAAGTACTTAAAATTGTTTAAGAATAAGAAACTAAAGCAGAAGAAGAAAAAAAAAAATCATATGCACATTTATTAATTTAGTTAAGTTAGAGTTAATCAACTAAAGTATAATAAAAATAATTAGAAAAATTAAGAATAGGTAATTTAAAAGATTTAAGGTTTTATGTTGAACAATAAATATCTGAGTTAACTAATAAGAAAAGTTTTATTCCTAGATATAAAGAAATTGATATTTTTCAGGAAAGAAGAAATATTGAGGAAGATTAATAAAGAGATAAAATACTTGAGAATAAAATTTTAAAATTTACTCCTCCTTTAGAAACAAAAAAGAAAATTGATAATAATTTAGTTTTTGTAGGTTTAGACAAACTTGCACCAAGATAGATTAAATTAAGTTCATATGAATTTGATGTAGAAAATTATGATCCTGAAGATGATATTAATTATGAATTAGAATAATAACTATTAGATCAAATAGAAGAAGAACTTAGACAAGGTAAAAGAACAGATAAAAATATTACTGATAAAGTTAGAAGACCAGAAATAAAAAAAAAAAAAGGAGATTAAGTATAAGAAGTATAAAAAAGAAATTAAGAATAAATGGAAGAAAAAAGAAATCAATTATTAGAAAAATAAGAAAAAGAATAAGAAAGAGTCAATTTAAGATAACTTTAAAAATAAAGAAATTTAAAATAAAAAATTATATCTAATTTTATGAGGTAATAGGATAAAAAAGAAAATTAAAATAGAATATAATTAGTTGATGAGTTGAATAATGAGTAATTATAGAAAAAAATTGCAGATAAAAAAAAGAAAGTGGTTTTATTTCAAAAGAATAAATCAAATTAACAAAAATAAAAATTTTAAATTAATCGATAATTAGATGATTATGATATGAATTTAAATTAACTTTTAGAAGATTATTAAGATGGAATCATATCAGCTAATGCATTAGAAAAAGCAATATCAGATGTACCAATAAATATAGAAACTTAAAAAACTTCACCTTAAAAAGTGTAATCATCTGCCAAGAAAAAATCATCTAAAGTCTTAGTTTAAAAACATTAATAAGAACTTGTTAATTTAGAATAAAAACACAACTTAGAATTAAGAATGGTATTAATTTATATAAATAAAGTTAATTGAAAGAGAAGAACTTGCTGAATTGAATAGATAAAAATCAATTAATAATGGTGTTACTTAAGAAATATTAGAATTATTCGAAAAATAAAGAGAAGCTGCTAAAAATAGAATTTAGAATACTTTAACTAAATAAAAAATGGAAATATAAAATAAATTAAGATTATATTCTAAATCTAGATGAAAAATAAATAGTTATTCTATAAATTAGTTTACTATTATTAAATAAAAAGTAGTATTATATTTATTATTACATCTTATTTTCTTTTCACTGTCATTTAATCTTATTTTTTTCTTCAACATTGTACTTGCCTAACCTTTATATAAAATGACCTTTTTATTCATAAAAATTATATATAATTTCACAAATTTTTATTTATTTTTTCTTTTTGAAAAAAAAATTTATTATTTTATTCAAGAAAACTTCATTTTTAAATTACTTTTAAACTAATTTATTATTTTAAATTAGGTTGCTGAAATTTGAAGTATAAATCAAGCAATAGTAGTTGAGCTCTAATTTAATAGAAATGTTTAAAAATAATTGATATCAAAAAAAATAAAGAGTTTTTTTTTTAAATTATTTTTAGTTCAATTTTAAATATGTTATGACATAAATTTCCTTTAAAAAATAATTTATTTTCTTAAAACATAGTGATATTGAATAAATTTTTTGAATTCATTATTTTAATAAATATTTACGATATGTGTTTTTATAATCTATCAATAATAAAGATAATTGTATTTATTTTTACAATATGGATAGTCAATCATATTTAAGGCCAAAAATATTTATTCAAATACAAAATGACCTTAAGAAATAATTTTATTCAGAAGATGAGGATGCTGACTTAACTCCGAAAAAACCATTAATTGCTAAACCTTCAAAATTTTCAAGAGGAGAAGGATAACAGTTTTAAACTGATGATTCTGATAATACACCTATGAAATATATTTAACCAAGTTCACCTAAAGGATAAAATAAATTATCAAAATTTAAACAAAAGGAGAGTCACATAGAAAAAGATTCAGATATATAATTTGAATCCAATGAAGACGAAAAAAAAGAATAGGCTTTAAAAATTGAAACAAATCAAAAAACTGAACCAGAATACGATATTTAGTAAATGTCAAAATAAATGGAATAAAAATATCAAAATCCTAAGCAACCATTTAAGCATCCACCAATTTAAAAATCAAATTCCTCTAAGTAAGTTATGAGTAAAAATATTCATTTTAAAGATCATCCATTTAGACATTTAGTTTATGGTAAAAATATTAATCAAAATGACTTTTTAAGATTTTTATAAATAGTGTAAAGTGGATTATTATATGCATGCAATTCTTTAAAAGGTCCATCAGAAAGATTTCTTAGAAGTAGACTTATTAGACTTAAAGAATCTAATCAAAAGAAATCTAAATTATTAATCCTTGATTTAGATGAAACCCTGATTCATAGTTGTTCATCTCGAGATTCTCCTTAAGTCACACTATCTATAAATAACAATGATGATAGAGTTGATGTAATGTTTTTATATATATTTATCTTTTAGTTATGTTTCAATATTAGACCATTCTGTTAAGAATTTCTAAAAGAAATGTCTAACTATTTTAATATTTACTTATTTACGGCTTCTTCAGAATTTTATGCTAATACAATTATTAATTATTTAGATCCTAAAAGACAGTTTATTATTGATATTTTATGCAGAAATAACTGTTTTGAAACTAAAAATGGGTTTTTTATTAAAGATTTAAGAATTATAACAAATAGGTCTTTAAAAGATATAGTTATAGTTGATAATTTACCTCATTCATTTGGATTACAATTAGAAAATGGAATACCAATTTTAGAATATTTATTCAATCCAAAAGATGAAGAATTGAAATATTTATAAAATTATCTTATTTAGTTGAGTAAAGAAGAGGATGTAAGAACCTTTAATAAAGAAAACCTCAAATTACTTAATTTAATTGATTTTAAACTTAATAATTGATTGTTAATAATTGTTATATATAAAAATAATAAACATTTCGTTTTATATTATTATATTTATTAATATTCAAATATTATGATTATTTTTTTCTATTTTTATTTGTTTGTTATTTATTCATTTGCTTAATAATGAAAATTAGATCAAATCCACAATAAAAATGAAATATTAGTCAAAAGTTAACTATGATAATCTCTATATTATAAAATGAAAAAATTCAAAAGTAAAATTTGTGTTTGATTTAAAAGTGAATTTAATTATAATTTATGTTAAAATTAGATCAATAAGAATTAATAATACAGAGAATAAAATCAAAAAAGCCAATATTCAAGACAGTAGGTGAAATAGAGTATTAAATGTATTAATATCTTTAGACAATTTCCTAAGTTAATTAAAAGTAGAGAAGCAATTCAAAAATCGATTTTATCATAAATTCAAAGATCAGTTTCAAATATTGATATGGATCCTTTGACATATGGATAAAAAGAATTAAAAGATGTTATGATTTAATTGGAAGAATAATTAAAAACTGTTTTCTTGCCCTCATTAAATTTAGATGAGAAAAAAAAATCAAAATTTTTAATGAAATAGGAATCTAAGTAATTAGATTATGAAGAAAGCAATCATCAAAAGAAATAAAGAGTAGATAAAAACAAATGTAGAAAATGCAAATAATCAACTATTCCTATGATATTAAATTTATTACAACAAACAGAAAACTAAGACACAAATCCTCATGTTACAATGAAATCTATTAGATAACAAATAGTATAAAAATCATAGAAAAAAGAAGAATAATCAGAATCTAAAGTTCCCTATATAGCTTTTGATTATTCTGATCGAATTATTATATGTAAAAGATGCAGATTTAAATTTCATGCTGAATGTGTTTCAGTACTTGATAATATAAATGATTGGATTTGTGACTATTGTTTAGATAGAATTTAGGAATTAAAAAGATCAAATTAATGGGATTACATAAACAATAAACAATTGAAATAATAGATATGTCCAACATCTGAATAAAAAAAGATTAATTTATCATTAATAGAAAAAATTTAGAAAAAATAAAAAATCTTTATTATTGAAGAAATGGAAATAACTCCATTTAAACCTATTGATTAAATATCAGATTTTCTAAGGAAGTATCCACTTTATAGAGGTTAGAATGGAAAAATAAAATATCCTGTTTTAGAAAAACTAGCATTAGATTATCCAGAAGTCTTAGAAATTAAATAAAAACCATAGCCATATATGATAAATTCAAATTAGGTTGAGGATATTCTTAAAATTTAAACAAGTTATTAGATTCTATTTCCTAATTGCTAAACACCATAAAATGTTAATTAAGATTATATTGAAAAAAATTTCTATGAAATTCTTATGAATTTGCTTACTGAATATTTTAATGAATTTATGTTATCAGATATAGTCAAATTTGAAAAATATTGCGATTAAGCTAATATTTAAGCAAATGCTTTTTTAGAATTAATGAATTATTTATATAGCCATTAAGAAAATTAAATGAAAGATTTAATAAAGAAAACATGGATAGAATGTGTTATATAAATTGATTAGATAATTAATTTTGATGATGAATCAAATATTAATAAAATTGATTTTAATAATTTAGAATTTTTAGATTAAATAAACATATTAAGTATTTTAACTGAGGGTTTGTATGATTTGGATAAAATGAAAGAATAAATTAAATAGAAAGATTCTTCAACAAATTACAGATAATGTAAAATTTCAATTTATATTAGCTCATTTAAAAATATTATTTTAGCAGAATTAATCTGCATACATAAATTGTGGAACATATCTTGGATAAGATGCTGATGAATAATAATATTTTTATTTTACTTATGTTCCTAGTTCTATATTTGTTGAAACTATGACAGGTTGGGGTTAATATACTTTATCTGATTTATCTGAATTAATTAGTTCTTTGAATATGTAAGGAGTTAATGAATCAAACTTAATTGAAAATCTAGAATTAATAAGTTAAGTTAAACTTTTTGATAATACAACTCCAATAAAACCCTAGAGTAGATTAATTTAAAGTATTTGTAAACCAATAAATAGAATAGTAATATAATCTAGAAATTATAGAAGTTATTGAATAGTTTTTACAAACTGAAGAGACATATACCAAATATTTACAAACTAAAAATTTAATTTGGATAGAAAATAATTAAAAGTAAAATTTTTATCATTTATTGAAAAATGAGAAATAGCTTTAATCTTTAGTAGAAGCATTAAAACTATTTTTAAATGGTTTATTATTGCTAAAATCTAATGATGGATAATATGTAAAACCATTTAAAATTTTTAAATAAAATTTTGAACTTGTAAACTTATTAGCTATTTATGTGGATAATGCATCATCTTAATATAGTATTTATATATCTTTAATCACTTTGAATTTATTATTAGAAGATTATCAACAATATCAATAATAAAAAGAATTAAAAAATAAAAGAAATCAAGCATAACGTAAAATTGCTTAAAAAGTTACTTAAAAAGAAAGTAAATAAATTAAAAAAAAGTCAAAATTAAAACCAATTGAAGATGAATCAATTGAATAAGAATAAAGTCCTTAATATCTTAGTAGCTTAGCTAACAAAAGAGAAAAAAGAGAAAATGCTGGGAAGAAGTACTTTTATGATTTTATATTTTTAGTCCAAACATCAATTTTGATTAATAAATGAAAAATCAAAAGAAGATATTTTGTGCGTCTTGTAAGAAGTAGTTTTTATAGGCTTCTTAAAGCGTTCAATGTTCCAGATGTAACAAACCATTTCATTAAGAATGCTTATAAATAAGAAAAGACTATTGTAAGAATTGTATGAGAAATAACAGTAAGAAATAAAAATGAGGCTTTTCCGTTAATAAGCTTAATTAATAAACAATCTAAAATTATATCTTAATAAATCTTAGTTTATATCTAAAATTTTATTTTTATATTTATTCTTTTTAATCTAATCTTAAAAATCTTGTATTCATTATGTATAAATTTAGATTCTAATAAAATAACAAAATCAAATCAATCATTATATCAAAAAGTCCTCAATATTATCATTTAAATCTTAAGTTTTTTTCAAACATTCATTGATTTCTCTTTCAAATTTCAGAAACTTACCATCTTCGTTGCTTTAATTTAGAAGTACTGTTGACAAAAAACATTTATAAAGTTATTCTAAATTTACTTTTAACTCTTCTGTCTATTTGTGTATCAGAGTCACAGCAATTTTTAAATCTGAATTCTCTTACTATTTTTATATTTATTTTTAGATACCATTTATTAAATTGGTTAATTTGTTGGTTTATTAAAATAATTAAAACCTTTCATTAGTATAGAAGGAGTTTTTGAATTTTTTGAATTTTAACTCTCTACATCAGATAATAGAGATGAATCTAAGTTATTTCCTTCCATCATAGGTGTTTTTGAAATACTTTGATTTAATACTTATTTCTGCATATTAGGAACAGGTTATTATTTTTAAGGTATAACTATTTAGGAAATCTACTAATTCTCTATTTGTAATTATTTTATAAATTAATTTTAATCATTAATTTTCTAAAGATAATATATGATTATTACTTATTTTAAAATTTAATTTTATTATTCTAATCGATTTAATTCACTTAATGCAATAGCTCTTTTTTCTAAATGTTATTGATTAGTTTATTGTAATTTATCTAATTCTTGATTTAAATCATTTATAACTATGTTACTTTCAGCTAGTTTTTATTTTTATTCACTTGTTTTTTAATTTAATCTATTATTAATTAATAATAATTATTACTCTTATATGACTTATTCTAATTTTGATATTTATAATTCTTTTTCCATAATAATTTCTGGATTAATTGATATATCTGATGAAACAGTGTTTTTAGTTGTTTACTTAAGTAAATTAATTTCTTCTTCAAGTTAAGTAATTTTAGCTTAATATTCTTGTTCCTACTATTATAACTATAAAATCATTTATTTAATTTTATCTTTTTAATCATCAAATATTTCTTTTTCTTATTTTCTTTTTTCTTTATAGGAATCTAATTATTATTATAAAAGATTATTATTTTCAAATAATTTAGTAGCTTCTGATTTATATTGATTTAATTCTCTTTCACTTCTAAGTAACTTTATTAAATGAATGATATTACTTCTTTATATTTTTATTCTGATTTCAACTCTTCATGATTTAATTTTTTTTCTAAATCTCTGAGTCTATTATTAAATACTTCAGTTTATTTATTAAGTTCAGTATTCTACTCTTCATTTTACTATTTAAGTATTAAATTCTCTTATTTAATATTTTACATTTCTTTTTACAATTCATTTACTAATCCTATTAATTCTCCTTTTAACTTTTCTTTTTCATCTTCTTTAATTTAATTCAATTCTTAATATTCTTTAAATATGTCCTAGTATTTAGTTTAAATTTCTTAAAGTTAAGAATCAATTGCTTTTTTTTCATTAGTAATTTACTCAATTTAATTTTATAATTAACTAACTAATTACTATTAAGTATTTTTTTGATTAGTAATTTTTTCTTTAAGTTACTTTTCAGATTCTAATGATGCTAATAAATCTTAATTTTCAGATTGTAAATTAGCAACAGTCTATAGTGTTTTTTCAATTTAATCTTTTAAATGTTAAACTTCTTCTGATTAGTACTATCTACTAGATTAAGCTGGCAGATTTTCTACAAACATTAATATAGAATCATCAATCTATTAAAGTAAATCATTAAATAATGTTTCAGTAGCTTTATTAATTTTTAATTTATATACCTTCATTGTCATTTTCATATCCTATTTAATCATTATAACTTTCTAAAAAATCATTCATTATGTCTTTTAAAGTATTAAATAAAGACTCTTTTAATTCTTGACATTTTTTTTCTTAAAATTCTTGAGGCATTTACATCTTTTAAAGTGCTAGAATCTATTATTTGTATTTTTAGCATTCTTTATTAAATCTCTCTTTCTCCTAATATTCACCTTCATATTTTTTTAGAATTTCCATTTGACTTATTTTATATTACTCTACTTCATCCATTAATTATTTTCTTTCCACTTAAAGAATCTCAACTTTTTAAAATATTGACCCAATTTCAACTCTTTACTATTCATAACTAATTTTTTTTTTGGAATTCATACGCTTTTCTTAAATCATTTATATACTATTCTTGCTTCACAGACTATTCATTAGCTTTCTTTGAGTCATAAATATACTTTTTAACAACAAGAGAATCAAATTCTAAAAATTGTGTAGGTTATTTCTTCTATTCTTTTTTTGAAAATAATGACATTTTATTTATATTGTATAAAAATAATTAAAGTCAAATAATCCTATTATCATTTTTGATATAAAATCGAGGTTTATAAGTTACATAATTGTCATAGAACACTTAATATAAGTTTATTCATTATTTTTAACTTTATATTTATTTTCATATAAATATTTTTTTTTATTATATTTTCTTTATATTGCTTAATACAACAAGGTACTAAATGTGCCCATTATTAATAAGAATTTGTGTGAATTTAAAATATTAGACTATGTTATAATAAGAAAATGGACAGATGAGATTGATATTTCAAAAATAAAATTTTCAGTTCATGAAATAAATTTTAAAATATATATAAACTTTATTGCAATGTGTATCTTCAAAAGTTCAATTCCTTCTTTCTGTTTTATAATTAATACAATTATTAATAAATTATAAAATTTAACAAATAAATATGCTTTATTCTCTACCTAAATATCTGACAGCAAAATATAATAATCATCCTTGTGAGAGCATAGAATCATTTGAAAATGCTTACAAAAACAACCTTTTTTAATGGTATTGAATCAAAACTTTGAATAACATAAAGTGGACAACTTGCATGTCCCTTTTTGTTCCTACAATATATATATATTTTATTAATTGTGGTAATTTTAGGGCTAAGAAATAAAATGTCAATGAAATAGCTGTTGTTTCCAAAAAGATTACAACTTTTATTATTAGAATGTATATCTACGATTAGTAAGTGGAAAGATGCAATTATGCTTTATATCAAGATAATCCAAGGTAAGAAGTACAAAAATTATAAAAAGATTCCCCTCAATAACAGAAGATATTAAAGGAGCATGTTTAGTTCGCAAAAGACGAAGTCATGAAGAAGAAAATTTGCATTTAGAATAGGTATCTTTTATTTATATTAAAATACTAGAAATTATTATCAAAAATTTATATAGTTGATTAAGATGAAATTTTTGAGAAATTCTGTTTATAAGGTTCTTTAGAAGACAATTTAAATTTATTGATGGAATGCTCAAATGGTCTTGCATTTTCTTCATAACCAAAAGTCTCATATAATTGTATTACAAAATAATTTATTGTCAATGATGCTATTTGGTTTAATCCAAAAACATTTTAATCCTGTAGTGGATGGATTATAAATGAATTTGAAAAAGCAATTGCATTATTGTATAAAATAATTTGTATTAATATCATAGATACTATTAATATTAATAAGGATGTATAGAGGATAATAATTAAAATAAGAATGATGACCTTAAAAGATTTTGGATATAGGATTTTGAATTAAGAAATAAGATTCTCAATTAAATTCCTTAGATTTGTAAGGAGTTCAAGAATGCTCCTAAAAAAAAAAATTCTAAATAAGAATATATTTTATGGACTTAACTAATTTTAAAATAAGCTTCATATTAAAATGATAAATAAATTAATATAGATTAAAATTGTTAAATGATGTTTTTATCAATTAATGAAAAGGATGTTTCTACAATATTTATTAATAATGAATTAGAAATAATGAATTATATGCCTCTGGAATAAGTTTTAACAATATAAAGATTATGTTAAAAAAGAATATTAAGACTCATAAGAGATCATTATAAGGAGAAATTAATGAAAGATATATAAGAAATTGAAGGTAAGGAAAAGAGGAAAACAATAGAATTAAAAAAAAAATCAAAAAAACATAAAAAATAGAAAAATAAGAATGAATAAAAAAAATTAAATATGAATTAAGAGAAATGTAATAGTTTTGAGTTAGCTGATAAGTAAGATACAACATAAGATGAAGTGCATTGTAATGAATATGAATTAGAAAAAAATACAAAGTAATATATAAAGATTATCTTTTAAAGTTCATTTTAAGAGATTAGAACAAATGTTCAAGATTCTGTAAAATCAGATATGATTTAAAATAATAAATAAGAATAGAATTTAATTGAAGAAGTCAATCAAATACTTGATGCTGAAACGATTATAGACTTGAGTAATAATATTTAGAATGATGACGATGAAAATTGGGTTGTTATAACTGCACCTAAAAAATAAAAAAAGAAGTCTAATCGTAAATTTAAATCATCATAAGACAACGAATACAAAAATTAATAATCTTCTTAGAAACAAAATCCCCCAACATTTATTGAATCTTCTGTTTAAACAAAATCTCATAATTAAGAACTTTTTTTGAGCTAAAAAAGCTAAAAAAGTAATACATAGGTTATTGAAACTGTAAAATAAGAAGTGTTGATGGTTAAAACAGAGAAAAATACAAAATAGGAAAATAAAGAAATTGACAATCGATCATCATAAAATTAAAATAAAATGAATCAAACATGTTTATCAATATTAGAAGAAACAAAAAATATTAATCCTACTCTATAGTTATTATAATTGGTAGATTTAAGCATTTAAGTTCCATAAGAATCTGAGAACTTATTATAAAAAAATAATAATTTAAATAATCAATATGAAGTTTAAAATACAATTAATAAATAACCAAAAAAAGAAGATGATCAAATTGATTATGTTATAATGAATTAAGCAAAAGTATTAATGATTAAAAAACTTGATATGGATATGAGAGAATTTAATGATATAATTTTAAGTTAGAATCAATAAATTTTAAAATTAAGAAAAATAATTTATGACAGATTATAATTTGTTATAAATTATCTTTTTAAAGGTTTCACTCATCATATATAATAGCTAGACTTTAATTCTTAAGTGCGTCTTTTTGGTTCATGTGCAACTGGTTTATCTTTATAAGAAAGTGATATTGATATAGGAATAACAGGATTTGAGATGTGTCCAAATTCGTAATTAAATATACCTATTTAAAAAATAACAGAATTTCTATAAAAAATGAGATGGGTTAAAAATATAGTGTAATCTAATTTATATTTTTATTTAGTGCAATTACATCCTCAATTATGCCATTAATAAAATTACAGGTAGACCCTACTATTTCTTTTGTTTAGTCATCTCTGCCTATAGGTTTACCTTATATAGATTTAATTATAAAGTAATAAATTTAAATATTAATAAAGTCCTGATGACGATATTCATAGATAAATATTTAGTGTTGATATAAGTTTTTTTTAATATACAGGTCCTAAATAAAATCATCATTTAGGCTTAATTTCAACTGAATTAACTTTATAATGGCTTTCCTTTTATAGTGAATTGAGACCAATTATATTATTATTTAAAAGTTTATTGAAAAAAAGGGGGTTGAATGATTAGTATAAAGGTGGAATATCTTCATTTTGTATTATTCAAATGGTTTTAGCATTTCTAGAATGCTTTTATCATTAACATTAAGCTTCATCAATAGGATTCACAACTTATAATTTTTTGAAGTTTTATGGAACTGAATTTGATCCAAAAACAACTGGTATTAGTTATAAAGGTTTTAATGAAAAGTAATATATTATTATTTAGTTATAGTCCATTTTATGATTTAAATGAATTTGATGATTAATCTGAGATTACAATAGTGTCTCCGATTACAAATGAAATAATTAGTTCTGCCTCATCATTTGTTTTAACAATATTATAAGATTTAAAAGGTTTGTATTAAGCAACAGAAAATGAAATAACCTTTTTTTATGAGAAACTTAAATACAATAAAAAGAAGAAAGGAAAGAAAGAAGAACGAAATTTATTTTAAAAGGAATTGAATAGACTTCGACCTCTTTTTAGTAATACTGTATATAATAAAACTTGATTTTAATTATTTAAGTAAATAATTTACCAAATTTGTTTAAGTAGTTAAAATTATTATAAAATTCTTTATTCATTCTAAACCTTCAACATTTGATTCTTAATCTCCAATTAATTAAATAGGAGGAACAAATAATTCTTGCATTAATTTAACAGTATCAATTTCTATATTTTTAGACAAACAATTTACATGTATGTGCTTTTCTTTCTTTTCTTAAAATTATTAAACTAGGTTTCTTTATTCCATCTAAAATTCCTGTTACTTTTTAGAATTCAGGTTTAGATCCATTGCATAGATCCCATATAGGTAATCCTCCACCTTCACTTACTACACCTTCACTTTCAAAATAATTATTTATTCTAGAAGTAGCTACAGATGGTAAAATAAAAGAGTCTAATTAATATGATGAATTAAGTTAAGGATTTTAAAGTAATGTTGAAGAATGATTCTATATTCTTAAAATTCTACTATCATCAGGTTTAATTGGTGATAATAAATTTTATTAATTAAAATCATTATTTTCTTAAATATTAATCATAAGTGGTGTTTTTTTACTTTTACCTGTAGGACTGTATACTGTCCTTTTTGTACCTTTTCTTTTTTCATTCATTATTTATTCAAATGTTAGATGTTAATTTTAAGTAGATTTTTATTATGAATCTTTGGTTTATTAATTTATAAATTAATTTTGTTTAGATATTTAATTTAATTTATGTGGATTGTATGCAATTTCTACTTATTACCTTTTGTCTTGATTCTAGATTAATAACAATTTACTTGCATAACATGAATAGTCTGATGTTTTTTTTATTTACTATATTCTGGTAATCTTTCCCAATCATATGCAAATGTTTAGCCATACATATTTTATTTACTATTATTATTTTCAATTTCTTTTTCAAAATAAGATTTTAATTTATCATAATTTGGATTTTCTGAAAATTCTAATGATTTTATATCATTCATAAAGAAATAAAAACACTAGAATTAAATGAAATCTTACTTTAGGTAGATTAAAACATAAATCTTCAATTTTAATTTCTTTTTTAATTTAATAAATTTTAGCATATTTAGCATCTTTAGAATCTATTTATAAATTCATCCAAGGTAAATTACCTGAAGCAAGGTATATAAGAACATATCCTATACTTTCAAGATCATCTCTTCTTCCTTATTCCATTTCTTCATGTGCACTTATAGAAGCATATCTAGCAGTTCCAATAAGTCCTGCCTTTTTAACATAAGCAATATGTTCTCCTTTACTATTCTAAATTTATACATTATATATAATACAATATAATGTTTTGATAATCCAAAATCAATTAAATATAAAGACTTAGCATTAGGTCCTTAATCTATAACAAAATTATCTGGTTTAATGTCACGATGAAGAAATCTATTCTCATGCATCACTGACACTCTATCTATCATCTGTTAAGCTAATATCATTTTATTTTACTTACTTAAATGGCTAATCTTATAACAGTGGCCATATTCATCACACCTCCTAACTTTCTAAAAATTTATTCTAAGTTTTTCCCTAACATTGTCATTATACAATAAGTATATCCCCTTTCTTATCCATAAAATTTTATTTATGGAAAACCTTACTATTTTCTAATATTGGATCATATAATTTTACCTTAATTCAATTAACACTTTTATTTCTCTCTCTAATAAGCTATTTTCATCATCATCTGCTTCAACCTTCATTGCCCAAGCTGCATTATTATTATTTCTATCAAGAACTTTGAAAACACTACCAAATGAACCTTCTCCAATTTTCTGACTAATTAAAAATCGATTCTAAATCATATCTCCTACCTTTTCATTATTTTAATCTAATACCTTTAATGGTTAAATATCCTCATCACTTTCATAATATTTTCTTTCATCTTATACATTATCTGTAAAATTATCTTCATTTTTAGAAATCATTTATATGTAAAATATTAAATATAAATATTTCACATTTATTTTAAATGTTTCTATCATTTAGAATATTCTGTATAGAAATATTCTAGGACTTTTTAAAATCTCAATAGACATTATTCTAAGTATTATTGATGAAATCTAGTTTTTAATTTAAACTTTATTACGAATTTTTTATCCAATTATAGTCAATATTTTGAGTATCAGACTTAAATAATCTGGATAAAAGAAACCCCAAAACCTTCTTTTTAGATTCTATATAATATTTAGGTTTTTGGTTTATAATCATAACTATATATTAATTTAACGCAAAACTAATATTTTTTATAATATTAAAATTATTATTTATTTGATACTTTCATTTGAATCGCCTTAATTTATATATATATAAGGGTAACTTTTTAATTAGTATTTATGAACATACATGCGTTTAATTGAATTGTCCTTAAAATAACGATTAATATGTAAATTAAATTTTTTAAGAATAATTCAAATGATATCTTTCATTTCTATTAAGTTTTTCACTGTACTAATAAAAGAGAGAACGATTAATTAGATAAAATAATATTTAAAAATAATTTTTTTAATGATTTAATGATTTATAAATCATAAAGGAATTAACTTTTCTTTTTTTATTTGAGCTTTTTTTTTCTTACAACACCAAATAGTAATGCCAATACCTACACCTAAGACAATTCCACCTCCAATACTCCAAAATAACCATTATGAAAATCCTTTTTTATCCTCCGGAGTAGGATCTGGACCAGGAGGATTTGGACCAGGAGGATCTGGACCAGGAGGAACTGGATCAGGGGGAACCTAAGTTATATTCAATTTAATTTAAACAGTGACTTAATTATAAGTATTTTTCAAAATAAATTACACATCTTTATTTTAAGGTTTAGTTGTACATATTTATGAAGATCTTTTTAATATAAAATGTTAAAGTATATAATAACCTTCGTCTTTTAATAAGTGCAATTGCCCATTATAGTTGTATACTATTAATGGACTATTTTGGGTTGGTAAATGAGCAATGGCTAAATTTGGTTAAAGGTTTGTAAAATCATCCGTTATATCATAAAATAGTACGCCAAGTTTCTATTTATATGTATTCACATAATGTATGGAATAAATATTCTCATTAAGTTAATCTTCTACTATCTCATGCCCTCCATACACTTATATCAATGATTTGAATTTAATTTACATTAAACAGTAATTTTAATCACATTACTTTTCTAATTTAAATATTACTATGGGTTAACCTTAACCAGACACAAAAATCTAATCTTTTTTAACAAGTATTTTACCACATTAAGATTTTGGATTGTTAAAGATAGGTTCTACATTTTTCAGATTAAAATATTAAACCTTCATTAAAGTTAATGAATCTGTAACTTTCAAATTTATAAAATTTAATTAACATTCTTAATTAATTGATGCAATTAAATAAATATTTTCAAACAATTAAGAAACTTCTATAAAGTTTGAATACTAATACATTTATTAAAAGCCAATATACTTAAATTGAAATATTTTGGATGGATCTCCATTTGTATCATATATAAAAATGTATTATGAACTCCATTTCATAAACATATGGTTTTAATTTAAATAATAAATTTTATTTATGAAACCCAATTCAAGACAACCATCTTAAAGTTAACAATTATAATCTTTGCATTTAATCAAGCATAAAATACCCTTAGTATCAGAATTTTCAGCACCAACATAAATGAGGTCATCATAAATATACATAATTTCATTAAAAATATACTAATCACCTAAAGGAAATTCAATAGATTCAAAATTTGCTTTAGAAACTAAGACAATCTTATTATTAATTAATTAAACTAAAGTATTACTGTCATATTCCATTATAGATTCACTATATAGAATTGTTTCTGTTTATTTAATTAATGTTTTTACGTATTCTACATCTTCTATTGGTTCTTTTAAATCTATTTCAAATGCTTATCCACTATACCATGATTACCCTAAATTATAACATTGGGTTTTTTATCCATCTTTTTCATATGTGAAATTGAATTAATGAACTATAGCAAATAATTCAGTTCCTCTATTAAATAAATTAACAGGAATTTATTCTAGCTTATAGCTATTAAATTAGTTAAAAATTCTACCAGATAAATTTAAAGTTTGTTAAAATTAAATTTATTTCTATTCTTAATTCAGCTTTCCATGAATTACTTATTTAAAGTTATCGATTATTAAATGTTATTACAAATTTTAGTTTGATTTATCAGTTAAGAATAGAAGTTTGTCACAAGTTGAAATTTAAGTGTTTTAAGATATTTTAAGCTCTAAATATTAGGAATTAATAAAATTTTATTCAGGACGATATAACAAAATAACAGGAATTCCATCTCTTAAGGCTTTTAGATAAATATATTTACGGGAACCAAAATAGCTTTTGCAATTTTCTTGATTAACGATTGTTACTTCCTAATATTTGCTCAGATCTATTTCTTTTTTAAATAAAATAAATCTTTTTGGATAATCATTCTCTTAATTACTGTAATTATCATAGATGTATCCAAAATATTAATCATTCTTTTTCATTAATATAAAAAATAGATTCTCATCAATCAAATCAATTACAGTACCATCATTATGAAGTTCAATTCTTTAATCAGTAATTAAATTGGTTAAGACATTGCCAATTTAAAACCAAAATTAAATAGGAATAATGTTATTAGAACTTTAAAATTTTAATTGTGCAGTTTTTTTTTTATAATCTAATGAATAACCTAATAATTGATTTTCCTAAATTAACCAAACTTCTTCTTGGCCAACAAAAATTTATTTAATCATAGAGTTCACTTAAAAGGTAATTTTTAGTCTTTAATTTCTATAGATATCTACTTATTTATCATGAGCTAATGCAAAAACAATAAATGAATTCGAATCGTAATACCAACTTTGAAGAGGAGAATCAATTAATTCAACAAATTCATCTTCCAAATCAAAAAGTTTTTAACATAATTGTGGTTAATAATTAATAAAGGATCTGCATTCATATGTTTATAGCTCCATGTTTTTATTTTATTCTATGAGAACGAAGTAAGGATTGTAATTTATAATTTTTCTATAAATAACTTGTTCAGGATCTTCTTTTATTTATAATTCAAAAGGAATTGTCAAATTATAATTTAGATCTAGAGCTTCATTATGATCAAATTCTAATTAAATATTGAAACCCTAATATTGTTATATATAGCCACAATAATCATTAAGTCTTTATTCATCTCTGCTGCAAAAAATTTGAGGAGCGAGTAATGTTTAATAAATCTCGGTTGAAGATTTATCAACAACTTTAAAATAAATGTTTGCTCTGCAGGTTATTTAAAATTAATTTGTTACTTCTAATATAAAATGCATATTTTCATTAATTAATTCCTTTGATGAAAATTACAATCTTTAATATTTTTATACATAATTATAAGCATAAAAATATGGCTAAATAAATAATAAGAAGCTTGAAAATTGTATATATTAATGTACAAAAGTTTTACCTTCAAGATTGATTGACCATTCAATTTTTATGCGATTAAGATCTTTAATAGAATAAAGTGAAAGAGATTTTTCATTTTATAATAAAAGATAATACATAAAGGATATATAAACCTTTGAGTTGATATCATTCTTTAAATTATCTATTGTCCACTCAAATGTCCCAGATTCGCTAGTTTTCTTACACAATATGAATGTATCTGAAATGATAGCTAACCAATAAAATAATTCATTATTTTTATCCACTATATAATCATATCCATAAGGTTTATCTATTTAAGTGCGTAAGTACCAATTTTTTTCCCATTCGTTGGATTGAAGATTATATTCTAATTCTAAAAATTGTCCTTATTGATTCAAAATTGTAATTATACTATTTTAGTGAAATTTGAAATCTACTATTTCTAAATAAAATAAATCATCCAAAAGTAATTTTTATAATATTTCTGTAGTTAAGTTTCCTTTTAATACCAATTTATTATCTTATTATAATTAATAAACTTCTATATAATTAGTCAAAGATCTTATAAGCACATCATCTAATTAGTCAATTTTTCTTTATGGATTAGTAGAATTTTAAATTTACATTGTTAAAACTGATTCTTTTTCTAAAATAGCAAAATAATCGCCTTCAGCATTACTACATTCAATTACATGCAATTTTAACAATTATACTACATCATAACAAGTCGAGTTTTCTTTTAGATTTAATTATTAAGAAACGTCAATTTATGGTGTAAATCCAAATATTTCGGAATTATATTCTACAAAATACTTATTTTCTGCTTTGCTTAAAAAACTCCAATGTTAGGTAGAATCATATTCTGCACTTTTGTATAATTTTTATTAAATAATTTCCTTATTTAAACTTAAAGTATATTCTGATTATTTTATTAGGTCTATTGGGCTGGATTCAATAATACTCACAAATTCAGAAGGAGGAGAAATTTTGTATTAACTTTCCAAATTTAAGATTTCATCAAAAATATAAGATGGTGACTATTCAATTATTTCTCCAGGGGTTGATACAATGTAAATAGTGTCATTTGGGAATTTTGTACATCCATATATTAATGGTATTAATAATAGATAAATCCTTATCATTAATTAAATTATTTGATAAACAAGCTAGTAGTTAAAATATAACTGATTTTTTAAGAATTTGGATTATCCCAAGTTATTCTTTAATATTGATCTATCCCCTTTAAAATTTTTTGTAAAAACAGGGATTCGAAAAAATCAAAACACAACGACAAATTTCTATGATAGGTGAAATCTGAAAAACTTTAACTTTAATATATTGAAATAAAAGTAGACTACTATGGGATGAAAAATTTTTTAAAATAGAAGAAGACAATAGTATCAACTTGAAGTAGCCTTAAAAATTATATATATCTAATTTAAGCTATATTATTTTAGAAGCTCTACCATTTAAGAAACCTGCCAAACTCACTCAATTAATATGTTTTAATTTTATAAAGAGTTAAATGAAGAAAGAAATCAAACTGGCTGCCAAAAATCTTAGAAGAGATTAAAAGTTTATCAGAGTTCCTTAACAATAAAATTTTCGAAAATAAAAATATTATAATTTAAGAATACAAAATATAATCTTATCATGAAATTATGATAGTTTATTAAAATATACTTTTATAGTGCTTTTTTGTCTATATGTTAGACAATTAATATTTGATTTCTTATTAGATGAAATGTCATTTATAATTTTAAAAAATTTATTTATATAAATATCTATTTTTAAAAATTTTTGATCCAATATACTTAACATTTTTATAATTAACAAATTATTAAATATAATATTAATTCAATATTTACATATATAATTTTTGAATTATTTATGTACACTTGTTTTATGGATGAAAGATTGTTTAAAAATGATTAAACTAATATAAATCTTAACTTTAATTGAAGAGACTCTAAATGATTAAAATTTCTTTTTATGTAATAAAAATTTACCCTCCTTTAAAGTTTCAATAATTTATGTTAAATTAAAAAATTATTTCATGAACACAATTTTATGTTTTATAACATTTTTAAACTCAAACATTTAATGTAAAAAGGATTTATAGTTCAAGATAGTAAATTATTATATGAATCATTCAAAATATTAAGGGAATCTATTTTTAGGATAATGAATTGTTAAGAAGTCAAAATTTACTTAATTGATGAAGAAAAAAAAACTCCATTCTCAAAAAAGACATTAAATTAATTAGCCATTGTTGAATTTGTAGATGAAACAAAATAAATTTTAGATTTAAAGAAAGCTAAATATATATTAGACTTTAATTTGATAAAAGCAGCTCTAAAAATAGACAATCTAAAAATTTTATGGAGTTATGTGTATTTAGAAAAAAGGACAATACAATATTCATATTTCAACTCCATCTACTCTGAGGAAAAAGAATCATCATAATTTTAATTTTTATCAGAATGGATGATTTTTTTATAATGTTATTAATCACAATTAATTGATGATTACTGTAAATAAATTTAAACTTGCTCTAGAAAGCAGTATTTAACTTATATAGAAAAAAGCTAAACTAAATTCATCTTTAATTATTTTTATACTTTTTTTCTTTTTTTGTAATAAATTAGTAGTGGCTTAACACTTAAATTCGTTGACTTATATAATAATCTTCATCATCTTTGATAGAAATGGAAGTTCTGGAGTTATTTTTATAATCGTTCGGCTATCTAATAAGTAAAGGATATATTTATTTATATATTTAACATAAAATTAAAAATGTTTATAAAAGAAGCTTACGATAGAAGGTAAAAATAGAGCGATGGGGAATAAGAAATTTTATAGACTGAATAAAGAATTCATAAGATTGGAAGTATCAAGAACAATAAAATGAACTATGACAAAGATGAATAATTTTTTAGCAAAGAGGATATTCCTTAAAGAGCATTATAAATAAAAGAAACTGTTTAAACTTTTGTTGATCCAGTAGATATAATTTCAATTAAATATGATAGGATATTTTAGGTTTAAGAAAAAAAGAATGGAATAGCAGTGTTTCTGTTCCAAAGAATCCATTATCAGAAGAAACCCATGAAAGAAAATTGGTTAAGATTCGATTAGGATTATTTGATCATCCAATTCCAAAAGAGAAGGCTAATAAAATATATGAGGGCATAGAAACCAGAGACAATTATTTATTAGCTAAGAAAGGTTCAAGTAAATGGAATGTAAGCACAGAAACCAACAATTTGGAGTTTTAAAAAAATCTAATGAATCAAACAAAAGATGCTTTAAAAAATACGAAGACTAAAGAAGAGGAGATTATAAAAAATTATTTAAAGCCAATAGAGCATTAAACAAAATTATAATTAGATTTAAGAAGTCAGAAAATAAATGAGAAAGAGATGAGAAATAATATAAGATAGGATTATTAATTGGCAAATCCTGCTGCATCTTAATAAGCAATAGATGGAGCAGTATTTAGATTAGCATATGAAGCAAAGTTGAGTAAAAATTAAGAGCAGATATAAGTAAAGATTAATATATGAATAGAGGATAAAAACTATACATTTAAGCCTGATATGACAAGAACATTAAGACATGATTTAGAATATAAATATTGTCATAATGGTGTATGGTAAAAGATGCCAGATGGAAGTGAAGGTTGGTCATGTTGTATGAATAGTACATTGGAATCAAGAGGATGTATAACAATAAAGGTAGATAAGAACAAGTGGGATTATTCGTCATTTACGCATTGACTTATAAAATTATATAAGATAATAATAATATAATAAAATTTGGAATGGGTAATACAGAAGGTAATGCAGGGATAAAAGAATTACATGCAAATTACATATAGATTCGTAATATCAAAGATGATGCAAGATATGGGGAAGGTCGAATAGTGAAGTAGAAGTAGACTAAAGAAGAATCATTTCAAAAAGAGATGAATTTAACAGATGAAGATAAATTCAAGAAAGTGAAAATAATGTTGGAAAAGAAGTAGAATAACAAATATGATAACATAATAAATGTTACTAGTATAAAAGTTTGAGTAAAATTATCTAGAGCTTTATTATCAGGAAGATAGTTAATTCTGTGGTCAATTTTATAAAATATACATATTGTTAGAATACATTCCATTATGTTTATACGATATAATAGAATAGAGATTAGCTAAGAAGTAATAATTGAAGGAATCTGAGTTGTGGCCTATTTTAACAGGATGTATAGAAGGATTGTTTATTTTACAATCTTAGAATATAAGTCATTAATCTATTAGACCTGAAACTATTTCATATATGGAATAATATCCATATGTAAAATTAAGTGATCCAACTGTAAGTGGAGTATTAAGTTCATTCTAATAAGTTGTGTAAGATGAATTGAAATAAATTAATTAGAATTACTTAAGTCCTTAGTTAATGTAATCATTAAATGATCAAATTTAACCATAACATAATCCATACAAAAGTGATGTATATTCATTAGGAATGACAATGCTTTATCTCTCAACTCTAAATAATTGTGATGATTGTTATGATCTATCAAGATCAAAAGTAATACATCAATAAGTTTAACGTAGATTATAATAAATGGAATAATCATTCTCAACATAATATGTTTAAATATTAAGAAATATGTTATTACTTAATGAAGAATAAAGACCAGATTTTATTTAATTAAAATAGGAATTTTAAGGCATATCTATTCCTCATTCTCTATAAAAATAATATCATGAAGAAGAAGAAATTATCTAATCTAAATAAGTTCCTATTATTTAAGTTGAATCTTATTAGTAAGCAGTTGAAAGCTTTTCTATTCAGTAACCCTAAACACCTTAAGTTGTTATGTATTCAGAATCTAGTGCTAAATTTAATATCTAACAATCTAATTAATCTATTCCTAATACCTCAATTTAAAGATCTTAATAACAATTAAAAATCTCTCAATAGACTAATTAATCTATCTATGTTGATCGTAATGGAGTTTAAGATTTAAGACCTGACATATATGATCATATAAAAATTGTAATTCATTCTATTATTCTCTTAGTTACCTTTATCTGAACAAATTTCTTTTCCATCAGAAATCGATCATAATATAGGCAATCAAATTGGAATGGATTAATTTCTAGATATTACTAATGAACCAGAACCTGATGATAATTATAATAATAACCTTATGCCTACCACATCTTTTGAAACTTCTTAATAATATCAATAATAATATTAACAGATGTAATAATCCAAATCCAATAATTTACCTGTTTCATATGATTCATATAATGTAGATTACAATTAAACTAATAATTTATCAAATCAAAAAAAATATGATTATTTATATGATAGAAATCTAAGCAATCAAGAAAAACTTATTAATTATTAGAATGATCTAAAAAAAACATTTGAACACCTTTCAATTAAACCTGAAAAAGTAATCGAAGTCTATGGAAATGGATCTAAATATGAAGGTGAAAAACTTAATGGTTTGAGACATGGTAATGGTACCTTCTTTTATTAAGATAATGGAGGAGTATATGAAGGTTAATGGTTTGAAAATAAAATGCATGGAATGGGTATATAATGATATTTATATTTAGGAACATTATTTTATGCTTCTGGTAAACCTGCCTATGAAGGATAATGGGTTAATGATAAGTTTGAAGGTAAAGGAACTTTGTATAATGAAGAGCCATAATCCTTATTTACTGAATTTGATTATAGAGATTTTGATCAAGTTGGAGAGTATTTTTTCAATTTAACTTTAGATTTTGGACTAAATACGTTGGTCTATTCCATGATGATAATAAAGAAGGACAAGGTACACTCTATCTATCTAATGGTGATAAATTTGAAGGCAATTTTCTTCAAGATCTTGTTAGTGGTCCTGGAAAATACATTAAATCTAATGGATAATTTGTTTCTGGGAGATGGTGGAGAAACAAACTTTAATAATGACAATTAATCTTAATATATATATATAATAATAAATATTCATTTACACCCAAAATAACTTACAATATAGATATATATACTATTATAATATATTTATCAAATAAATATGTCTATTTCAATTTTAAGTATCTTTAAAGTGAATAAACTGCATATAAAATATAAAAGATGATAAAATGAATGAAATTTTACATTGAATTATTATAAATTATAAATTTATTATTTTGATAACAGATTCAATTTAATAATTCTTCATTTATACTCTTTTTCTCTTATTCATTGACTTAATTCTTTTATTCTAAACACTAAATTTATTGATTAATTTATACTTTAAATGGCAATTTTATTATACTGTTATAAATTAATGATCCAAAGACTAATATTATAAATCCAATTAATTAACCCCAATAAAAATTCTCCCACCCTATTATTAAGCAAGTTATCCATACTAATGCAATTGTTGTTACTTATACTACACTTTTTGTCAAAGCACTCAAATATTTTACTACAGCCATACAAATAGAATTTAATAATAAAATTGATGTTGCTTCTGCAATTATTAGTAAAAACAATTATGGCTAATAACTTTAATTCTTAAATGAAAAAACCACCTAAAAAAATTAAATTGTTTATTCTAAATAATATTTTCCATCTGAATTCTAAGGACAGCCGCTTTGCATATTTGATGGGCATGGAATAATTTCTAAAATCACCAACAAAATAGAAGTAAATACCAAACCCCATAATCCTTCCAAACCAACTAATTCAAAAGGATTTAAATAGTATTTTCTAAAATATTTCTCCTCTAAAATCACTTAAACTGAAAAAATAAAAAAAGATAAACATAAAAATAACACTCCAATTAAATAATCTGATTGTGTTTATTTAAAATATATAGTAATACCGACAATTAAATTCCCTAATACTACTAAAGACATTCCTAATATTTAGTGTTTAGTTGGAACTTTTTTTAAAAATATTACTGAAAATATTGCAGTTATTACAACTGTTGCTCCTCTCAACATCTAATAAACTGATGTAGGCATTAATGACAATGCAAAAAATGCTAAACAACTTGCAACCAAATCACATAAAGTTGGAATTATTACTACTAAATAATTAATCTTTGTTTCTTATTTCAATTTTTTAGCAATTTCCAGTTCGTATAAATATTTTGAATAATTAAAAGATTTGTATAACAAAAATATAATATAACAAATTGATTCACCGAAAAACATTGTAAGTGTTTAAGTAAATGGATGATTAAATTCCTAATTATTGATTGTTATTTTTGATTATAACTTAAAGACGATTGATGAAGCAGTATTAACTAACATTTACATGGCTATGAGTATGTATCCATTGGCACTCGAGATCGATGTCATCTAATTAAAATATTTATAAAAAGTTCATATATTAATAACTAAAGATAATGTTTTCAGTACTGAAGGAATAGGCATATTTGATTGTTCCATAATTTTAGTTAAGCCTTTAAATACTGTTAATTCTTAAAAATTAGATAAATATTGTTCAAATAGTTGTTCAATTATTTTATCCGAATTTCCATTTTCAAAGAAATTGTTAGACTTTATTTCAGACACTTCTTAACAGTATGATTCTCTTTTATTTTATAGGTTTTCTTTTGTTTATAAATCTAAAAGACCAACATTATCAAATTATAATGGATTGACTATCTCTTAAATCTGACCCATATCATTAATTGTTATTTCTAAATCTTTTAATTAAGATTAATGACAATCACATGAATTGGCCAGATTTAGTAACTACTAGTTAACCTTTTACAATTCCATAATCTATTTGATTTTCATAACAATACCTTTAATTCTAACTTATATAACTTATTTTAAAGGATCAAGTTTTCCTTCTTTAGTTTTTGATAATCTTCTGTCTTATGTTTTGAGGAATTAGAATATTCCTTACTATTGATAGTACTTTTCTTTGTTTATTCTAATTCTGGAATTTGATACACTAATTCAATCTATTTAGAATACATTATTTGTTGATATTAGATATATTATTATTTTCTTGCATTTTTACTAAGACTTAAGCTATTGCTTATTATGATTACGAGATGCTGATTATTTTGTTTTTTTATATTGTAGACAACCTTGGATTGTTTGGAGATCTTAAAATATTTTGGCTCTATACTTTTAATTAGGAGATGTTTTTCTAAGTTTATCTGAACTATCACTCAAATTAATTGTAGCTTTTCTAGCAGATAAGATTGTATTTTATTTTTGTAAAAACTAAGCATTCTAAATTGGTAAATATAAATCTTCTGCTTTAAATTGACTATTCGAAGCTTTTTCTTGCTATTATTTATTACTAATTAACAATTTTTATATACATTTTATCCTTTGAGTTACTATTTAGATCATTTTTAGGAGGTGTCAAACTTGGAACCCTTTTTGTAGACAATATGTTTGGTGCATTCAATTAATAGTAACTTCTGGTGTTATGGTAATTCATCTAATTTTTGGATTAGTTCAAACAATTATTAAATGGTATTATTATTATTCATATGAATTCTAAGGAAATTGATATTTTAAATTACAAAAGTAAAGTATTAAAAATAATTAATTATTTTTATAAATCTTTATGCACCCATTTTCATTATTTTATTTAATCTAAGCTATAGAATAAATCAATAGTCTTAATGAAATACTTTCTAGTTTTAAATATCATTAAATTAAATTGAAAAATATTATTAAGTATTAAATAATGTCGTAAAATAATCTATTAAAACTTTGAAAAAGATACAATTCTATATATGAATTAAAAGAGAGAAAAATAAAGTGATGAAAATCTCATCTGAGAATTACAATCATTTTATTCTATAATAAATTCTCATTTTTTATTATAAATATAGGTTTTCATTACATTGTTTGTCTTTTCACCATTATACTTTGAATTGAATTACATTTTCATATCATTAAATTAAAAGGCATAATTTTACAACGAAATTTAATTACATAAAAATGGTGATTTAGTTTTTGATGTATTATTTATACAAGTTTTTTTACTTCCTCCAAGCTTAATGGTATTCAAAAAGCCATCAAAGTTTGATTTACATAAGGGAATAGTATTCTATTATTCATTTTTGTAATTAAATAAGCTTGTAATTTATCTTTACATTTCTTTAAATTTATTGTCCTTTGCATCTTATTTAATTTTTGGTTATTATTCTAATTTTGGTGGAGAAATGACTTTTAATGGAGAAACTGTTTTATCTAATATAGGAGGAGTACTAAATTAATTGATAGTAAAATCTCCTTAGATGTTGATATATTTAGTAGGAGAATTATTTGATTTATAACTATCAAAGAGATTAGAAAATTATTATGAAGTTCCAGATGTTGTGAGTGTAATTGATTTCTGAGGATGTAAGTATGTTTTAATTTATTATTTTTAATTTTAGTGTTCCTACTCTTACTTAGATAATTAAGTGTCATCGAACATCCATACTTTTTCAAATTATTCTCTAGTAATCTCTGAATTATTTGAAGAATTTATAAAATTAAAGATTTGTAAGATTTAACTAAAATTGATTATGTGAAGTTTTTACCTACTAGAAGTAATTCCATGGTTAGATTGAAGTTCTTAAGTAAATTCTTCTATGTCTATTGTACCATTTTTCTTTTTATCTATTGAGTCAAAAGTACTCTTAAGATTAGGAAATCTAGATTGCATATTTGATTTAACCTTTTTCCATTGTTAGATTGTTTAATGCATATTCGTTATAAATTTAATTTAAATTTATTCAAATTAAGTTGGTAAATGAGTTTTTAAGTTTATTAAAGATTTATTATAATCGTATTATTTTATGAATAATTAAACATAATTTCAATAATAATTTATCATAAGAAATAGAAAATTATAAAAAATGATTTCTAATATGCTTATTCTATATAAATATGACGCCTCACCTCAACTTCTATATGAAAAATTTATGGAAATTAAAGATAATTAAACTAAATTTTTATTTGTAGTTTAGGATTTTCTTGAAAAAGACAAGTTTAGACAATGAGATTAGTTATTGAATAAAATTTATTTGAGACTAAATATTCAATAGAAAATATGATTTTTCATCCAGATTATATGTGAAGAATCTTAAAAAAATGAAAATGAGGGAAATTAGAATATATATTCTGAAATAATAATTGATATGTATTTCAAAATGGAAACAAAAGGTTTATATGTAAAAATTTATGTAAAAATTGAGGTTCTAATTGGATGTCCAAATATGTATGAATATGAATAATATTTTAATGATAATAAATTTAAGTGACTTATTCTTGAGTTTGATTGGAGGAATAATGATAGGAGTGGCATGTAGTATACATTACATCACAAAAGGGAGAATAGCTGGAATTAGTGGAATATATTATGGAGTAATAACATTTAAGTGGGATGAATTTTTTTGGAAATTATCTATTCTGTGTTCTATAGTATTCTCAACAGGACTGATGTATTAAATTTTTGGGTATTAAATAACTTAAATAATAGAGATGAGAGCATAATGGATAGTTCGTCTTTAGCTTTTAATGAAATTCCTTAAATAACTAATTTATCTAACATGATATCTGTATTAAGTGGCTTATTGATAGGTTGTGGGGCTAAATTATGTAATGGATGTACTACAGGTCATGGATTCTGTGGTATAGCAAGGATATCTATTCGTTCATTTGTGGCTTTTGGTTTGTTTATATTATTTGGAGTGTTGAGTTGTTTTATTACAATGAGTGAGTAAAAGGATGAAGGGATAGAAAAATATAATTATAATCATGTTTCAATAATTATGATTGGATTAAGTTTGGTATTATTATCAGCAACTCTACTTGGAGCATATATAAATAAAGATTAATTTATTGATACAATAATTGGAGTACCAGTTGGACTACTTTTGGGAGTAGGAGTTGTATTTTCAGGTATGATTAAAAGAACAACGATTTTAAGTTTTCTTTCTTTATAATAATGGAATCCATAATTTTTATTTGTGATTTTAGGAGCAAATATAGTCTGTTATTTTGGATTTAGATTATTGAAAAAACCTATATTTGAATTAGAATTTTAATATCCTCCTACAAATAAAGTTACTAATATACTTTTGATAGGGGCATCACTATTTGGTTTTGGATGGGGAATGACTGGAATTTGTCCTTTAGTTGGTTTGGCTTTATTTCCTCAATTCACATGGTAAATAGGATTGATGTATTTGGGATCAGTTTCAATGGGAATGAGAATTGCCTAATGTTACCTAAATAAATACTAGAAAGTTGAAGATTAGGTAATTTAAATAAACAGTAACAATTATAACAACAAAACTGATAATGAATAAATTGATAGGTTATGACATATAAATATTTATTTATATATTTATAAATACTAAATAATATTGTACAATTAACAATGAATCAATTTACAACTGAAGAAGGAAGTAATTGTCTTTTAATAAATTCATAACTTGCCCAAGCTGTAGCACCAGACATAGTTTACATACATAATCTAGGTAATAATCCTTTATAGAAACCGAGATATCCTTCTTCTTTCATAATTGTTTTAATAGTTCCTAAAAAGCTATTATATTTGATTTAAGAAGAGTTTAGATGCCAACTCTAAGTTTATAATTTAGTTTTAACAACATCTAAAGGATTCATAACACATACAGCAGCACATCCAGCCAAAGCAGCACAACAAAAATGACTTAAAAAATTATGTTCTGATTTTTTAAACATTAATGTTTTAAGAGTTTCATTTGCTGCAAAAAATATGGCTTAATATGGAGCAGACATTAACTAAATTTAATTAATTATATAATACGTAAGTAATTGGAAAGCTTCGATAAAATGCAATCAATCCTTCTTATTTTAAGACTGTTTTCACTGTTCTTTTAAAACCCTTTTCTAAAATTTACTATCTTTATTTTATAACTATATTAATATAATATTTATACCATCAAATGGAACCATAATAAGATCATGCCATAAAGTTGATACAGCACCAATAAAAGCAAAAGCTTAAGCATGGATATTTTCATCATTAACATCTAATAGAGTTTTCATAATCTTTAATATTTCAATTTATTTTACTTCATAACTACTAAAATAAAATGCATGAGCTGGCATACAACCTGCTGTCACTGCTCCATATCCATTAAAAAATGTTTTAAATCCTTGTTTCCTAAAATTTAATCTACTATTTACTTCAAAGAAGAAACTGTTTATGAGAACTTTGAATCTGGAAGTACTTAAAGATGAGTCTATATTTCATAGCTATACACTATACTTTCACATTATCTAAAGGTAACATTGATACATGTTCTATCAACCCAGCTAAACAACCAGCTTTTTAATTTCATTATAATTATACCAATCATATGTACTTTTAATGGTGTATTTTCTGATCTTTTTTCCCAATCCTCAATTTCCATCATAAATTAATATTAAAGGATAAATTTTATTTTATTTTCTTCAATATTAAATATAAAAATGAACATGAACATAAATCATATTTTTCATATAGTTATAAAATAATAAAAAAACAAGATTCCCACAAAATAAACACTCAAAACTATTTTAATATTATTTATTATAAATACTTTTAATAATATTTGTTTTGGTATTACTAAATATTAAACTAAGGTTTGGAAAACCTAAATAATTGCAATAAGAATGAAGCAATATTACACTTATTAGAGATTTAGTTTTCAAAAATACTGATGCAGCATAAAATCCAAATATGAAAGTGAACATTAAAACAAATACTATAAAATTAAGTTTAGATTTTTACAAGTTCTTAAAAATGCTTTTATAAAACTTCTCTTAAAACTTTGAAATTAAAATGATTATCTATAATATTCAGTTCTATATTTTCTTTCCTTCTTAAAAAATGAAAAAAATTTATGAGAGTGTGCTAATGAAAATAAAATCGAAGATGTTAAACAATATTCATTTAAGTTATTAAAGTTTTAATAAAATAATACCCTAAATGTAATCTCTTCTAAAAGTGGAGCCTTTTTATTGTTATCAAATATATTACCAATACTATTCTTATTAACATTCTATCATCTCTAAGGGGATTTTAACTAAATTTATCTACCAATCTTTCATTTCTAAGGTATTTATCCAAAATAAAATTGTATATTGGACCCAAAAACAAAAATGTATTACAAATTAAAGGGTAAAGGATTGAATTCATACTTATGTTTATACTAAGGCATTAAATTATGGATGAACAATTCCCAATTATATATCTTTGATTCAAAATCATCAATAGGACTGAAATAGCGACAGTTAGAGTTTTTAGTTTGGCATTATTTCCCATCTTAAAGAATCTTTTTATTATTTTCCAAATGTAAACACTAGAAATAAAACCAATCGTGTAAAGTATGGGTATTTACATAAAAATATATAATTATTTAATTTTTAATAAAATTATTTACAATCTTCTTACAAATTATACAACTTACTATTTTCACAATTAATCATTCAATTCTGTTATTTAATTATATCTCCATTAATTTATATATATAGAATTCACAACTAAAACAATTGCACATGCAATTTCTAGAATAACTGTAAAATTATAAAAAGAGAATTAACATTCCATTTATCCCTAAATGTTTTAATATTTGATTACTTTCATTTTTTCTTCAATTTGAAATTCCTCTTATAAATTACATAAATTATAATTATTTATTTATGAAGTTTTTATTGAAACATAATCAAAGTATGCAGAAATCAGCTTAAATATTAATTGATATTAATACTAATAAAACAGCAAATGCTATTCCTATTTAAAAACTAAGCTCTCCATATTTTTTATTTGATTTTCGTAATGCATAAATTCCAATAAGTACACTTGATATAGAAAGTAATATAAAACATAATCTTATTTCTGAAATAGCTATTTCCCATGGGCATTCAATCTTTAATCAATTTTAAATCTCATACAATAGCACTAGCTTGAAGATCTTATTTAACTTTCAAAAATATTTCTGACCTTATAGGACCACTAATAGTTTTACAATTCATTGTTCTTCTCATTTCAACACAAATATAATGACCCTCTATCATTAATAAGATTATTTCATACTGTTATTTGCTGATTCAATTTCACAAGTCCATTTATCATCAGATCCTATAATACTGTAAAATAGTAAAATAAATAATAATCCCTAACATTCTTGTGTTTTATTTTACTAATGCAATTAAATTTATGATCAAACTCTTTTTAGTATTTCCATCACTTTCGTACAATAATTTCTTGGCTTACCAAATTTCTTTATTTGTTTTTGCTTAAATATCCAACATATTAAAATACGTGTTAAAATTTATTATTATTTCTAACTATTTATTACCAAAAATGATTAGTTAACTTTTTACTATCGAATTGACCCAACAAACATTCCTATATCTATCTATTTAAATTTTCTTCATTAAATATCAAACAATATTTTAACTTAAACAATTCTTTAATTTTCTTTCGCAGTTTCAAGAGTATGAGAATTCTTGTTTATTTTTTAATTAAAGTCTTGTAATTCAAGTAAATTTAAAAAAATGAATAAGTAAAACAATATTTTTTTTAAATTTCATCTGTTAATTTCATGTATTTATTGGTCGATGAGCTTATAATATTAAGCTCTTTAATTTTTATTTATTATCAATCAAGTCATCATAGAAAAGTAATTTAAAATAAATTAAAAATCATAATTGATTCTAACAAATATATTTATCCGACCATGTTCAAAAATCTCTTAACAATTAAACAATTTTACGCATCTGAATTTTATCAGATTTACAATAAAATTAGTAGGAATAAATCTTTAAGCTTGTTCTTGATACTGATTTCTTAATCATAGATATACTATATAATTTGCCATCCATTTTCTAAGCTTTTTAAATTATATGCAAGACCACTTTTTTTGTTTAACAAATTCTTTTAGAATATCAAGTATTAAATTTACTTATTAATAGCCTTGACTTTAATTACAATAACACTGTTATATGGTCTGAAATATTTTTATTAATAATGTTAGCCATGTAGTTATTATATTTTTTTTGTTTTATCTATCTCTTTTATAATTAAAGAGTCAAAGTTAAGAATAACTCATTAAAGAAATATTTTTAAACATTTAAATAAAAAGAGTAACAAGTAATAATCTTTTTATTTTAGAACGAATTAAATAGTATAATTAACTTGATAACAGTCTCTGAAATTTATATATCATTTGGAGCAAAAATTTATAAATATTTATTTTATTATCCTATTATTCAACTTGCTTTTAGGAAGATATCAACCCAAGCAAACTAATGTAAAATATTAGAATTCATATTAGATTCTAACTTAAAGACCTATTAATTTTTAATTTTAATCATCGCTTTCCTTGTCTTCATACTTAATATCTTATTCTATATTTTGAACGAAACTCATGATGTTTAATTTTCTTTTAAAAAGATCGATTATCTATCTCGTTTTTACTCTAATATCACAAAAATATAATCTTTATTGATAGAAACTATGATAATTGTAGTTACAATTTTAGATAATATAGAAATTGACGAGATAGTTATTACAATGGTTGAAATATTTCTACTTATTGTAATTTTAATATTAGGTTATAGCTATCCATAATATTAAGAAGAATTAATTAATAAAATATAAATCTAATCTTATTCACTCTACTTGTCTATTACTTTTTGTATATTAATTTTTGCTGAAGGATTTCATAAAGAATTTTCAGAATTGATTCTTATAATGCTTCCATTACTATTTTAGATTACTAATTTAATGATTAAATAATAAGGAAATAAAACTTAAATTCTAAGTTATGAAAATAAAAATTTTGATTGTTTGATGATGAATATTTATAATTAAGGTAAAGAAGCTTTAGGTAGAAACGGTATATTATTAAATGAAATTAAATACTAATTGCCTAAAAATCTAAATCTTTATGCATTTTGTACTAATCATTTAATTTTTTGTGAAAATTAAAATAGTTGTTTTTGTAGCTGTTACAAAAAATAAGATGATCGTTTTATCTCTCGATAACAATTTAAATATTATCTTAAAGAGTTGATAAGATTTCATTATGAATTAAAATTATTGAGCTTAAATAGAAAAACTACTCATAAATAAATAAAAAGCTATTTTTATTATATCCTATATATATCAAAAGTTATAAAGTAACCTACTAAAGCGTTTCATGAAATTATTAAATTAAAAAATAATATGTATTCTGATATGAATCTTTTAGATAAAATGTTCATGAATTCAATTGAAAGTCTTGTAAAAGATGATTTTTTAAGAATGATAGAGAACAAAAATATAACTAATCAAAAATATGATTGCTTTAAAGTGTTTAATTATAATAAATCAGTTAATTTATGGAAAGAAAAATTTAGACAAATTTTATTAAAATAAAAGTAGTGGTATACTACTTTATTAAATAAGGATTTTATAAAACTTTTAAGTGATGGATTAAGTTTACAAAATTTAATTACAGATTAAGAAAACAAACTAAAATTAATATTTAATTTAAATCCTTTATCTTAGCAATGCCACATTTTAATTCATTTATTTTACAAGTATATTAATTTCAATAAAAGAAAAATTGAAATTCCTTCAATAGACTCTTCATTAGCTTATAAATTTTAAAATTCTATAAATGGGATCTTATTTCATAAAGAGGCTTCTCTTGTCTATTTAACATTGTTGGATACAAAAGGAATAATAAAGAACTATACAAAAACATTTAGAGATGCTCTTTGTACATTAGATTGTGAAATAATGAATAATTCTATAAATAATTTTATACCTGATATTATTGCAAAAGTACATGACTAATATTTAGATAATTTTGTTGAAAGAGGGAGAATAAATATTATGAAATCAGATAGAAGATTTTTATTGGTAAAAAATAAATTAGGATTTATTTTTCCAATAATAGCTAAAGTAAGATTAGAAACAGATTTAGGTGCTGATTTTGGTTCATCTGCACTTATACTTCCTACTTATTAAAACTATCATTACATTATGTTAAATAAATATGGTTTAGTAGAAGAAATTAGTGATAAATTATATAATGAATTTATTTTACCTATTTTATGTATTGACCTTAAAAATATCAAACTTTTAGATTGTTTAAAATTAATACCTAGATTAATAAAAAGTTGGAAAACTCTTAATCTTACTGATATTTTAGATTCAGATCTTAAAGATCCAAGTCAATCTTATATTGTGATTCCAAAAAAAAGTAAGAAGCAAAAAGTTCTTTTGTCATCTAAAATATAAGAGAAATCAACAATTTAAGATTATTTGAAATCTTAAGATATAATAAATGAAAAATATTTTGACAACTTTAAATAGATGTATATGTTTCGAATTACCTTTAAAATTGTTGAATTTTATACATTTTAGGGAACGTACGTATCTAAAATATTTTATTTAGGATGTATTGTATTGAAATTTAAACTATTAAAACTGTTCGTGAATCATTAAGAACTGAAATATTTGAAAAGTTGATTGAAAAATCAGATTATGTAAATTTGAGTAGAAAAATAATAAAATTAAGTTAAGAAAAATTAGAAATCAAGAAGAGAAAAACTATAAAGTTTGAAATAACTAATTAAAAGGAATCATTAGGCTTTATTTCTTATCAACCTGAATAATAGACAATTTATAATTTGGATACATAAAAATTAATTGAAGATGATTATATGATTAGATAGAAAGAAATGCAGATTCATTTAACTAATCCTCTTTATATTTTAGAAGTATATTTTTTAATTAATATAAGATTGAAGAATGTTAAAATTTAATTAGTTAACCTAATAGTTAAGATAAGAAAATATAAGATTAATAAACATTTAGAATGAAATCTTCAAATGCACCTAGTTTTTGTGGATTAAATCATTTTGGTAGCAATAATTCAAATGGGATAAGTTAAGTTTTTGGATCTGAACAAAATAAATTAATAGTGCATTCTAGTGCAATATTAGAAGCATTAAATGAAAATAAAGAATCAGCTAAATCTAAGAATTCAGATGAAGTGATTGGATCTATCGAAAATTTTCTATTTGATGCAGATTAAATGTAATCTATTTCTTCATCATAAATAACTGATATTAAAGTCAAAAAAACTCAATTAAAACATAATCTTTTTGATGAATAAACTAAAGAGCATTGGACTATACGTATAATAAATTTGATCATATTTGCATTACTTATAGTTTTTAATATTTTTTACTATTATGTTTTGAAATAAGAAAATTAGGTAAATCATAATTATACTATTTCAAGATTATTGGATCCGCAATAGAAACATATAGATTATCAAATAACTTTTAAATTTAGATTAATAATTTCATTTTAAGTTACAATTATTCAAATACTGTTAAATTCAATTATACTCAATATATGAAATTTTGTGCTAGTCATTTTTAAAATGATATATCTAAACTTTAATTTTATTCACCAAATATTGAACAGAATACTAGTAATTATATTTTTTAATCTAAGTTCCATATCTCTAAATAAGTGAATTTGAAAATATAACTAATCTAAGTTTATTTTATTCTTTAGGATATTTTTCATAATATCTTCTTGCTTAATCAAAGAGTTTAAATCAAGAATATTTTTTAGAGCTTATAGCCAGAAACTTTATAACAATAATTTCCTCTAATTCTGCATTAAATTCGACAGTCATTAAAGATGGAGTTGAATAATTTTTGGAAGCTTAATAATCAACAAAATTATCCTTTTATTTTGCATTAATATTCCTATTTTTTGCATTTATATTTTACTTAATACTTTTAATTATTATCAATAAAGCTAAATTGTAAATAGTTAAATTATTTAATACAATTTCCAAAGCCTAAATAAGTTGTTTAATAGAATAAATTTCGATAATTGGAAGTTTTTTAGAAAAGATTGACTTTATAAATGAAGAAACTACTGAACATTAATTTGAGTAGATAAAATCTAAAATTGCTTCTACTCCAGGAATTAGAATTAAGACTCCTTAAAAAAAATAGAATGTAAAAATATAATAAAATAAATCTCGAGAAAACAGTAAAAGTATTTGTTTATTTTAGATTCTAGCTGCTTTAATTTATTTTCTTTATTCTCTACTTTTATTGTTCATTTACTTTATTATTTCTTCTTAATATATTGGCTCTCTAATTTACTAAAATTCATTTGAAGATAAGACAATATATTCGTTCAAATAATTACTTCTATATAAATCTTGTCAATCATATTTATTATAATAAAAGAGTTTTTAAAAGCTTGTAATTAAATACTTACAAATTAATAAAGAAGATATGCTTTTTCTAAACAAATGTAAGATAAATATATTATCTTATTAGGGGAAGATGCATTATAGTATATGGAAGAATAATTAGATGTTCTTTAGGATTTTATTTAGAGATTGAATGATTAAAAATCTTTTTCAAGTATAATCTTTACAAATACAATAAAGAAAAATGGGTGTTAAGCTTTTGAGTTTGAAATAGCAAATAATAATGAAGATAGTTAATTTTATAGTCAAGTGATTTGTAAAAATCTTGATAGTTTAGTATCAGGATTAACAATTTAATTAGTTGCGATTTAATAAAATTTTTAATAATTTTATTCAATGCATAAACAGAATGATAAGAGATTTAAATCTTATTTATCAAATATGGAAGTTAATTCAACTTTAGAAAATGATATCATTAATCTTCTTTACACATCTCATGTGTTAACTTTATTGCATGATTTTGTGGTTGATGAATCTTAATATGAAATATCTTTAAATTATTTAGTACATACTATAATATTCATATTTGGGATCATACTTTATCTTATTTTAATAATTATAAGCAACAAAAATATAAGGGTGTACTTACATAAAGAATTGATTAGAACTAAATAATTATTTTTATTAATACCTTTAGAAATATTGTGTGAGAATGCAAATATCTTGTAACAATTAATTAGGAGAAATTAAAAATGACAAAAAGTTAATATCATTATTATATTATATTATATAATTATTATATTTACAAGTTACTTGAAAATGTCAAATTAAGTATCTATATCAGTTAAGGAATTAACAGTCATAAAAACGCCAACTACCAATGATTTTAGTAGTTATAGAGATTTATAAAGGCTTCCAATAACTAAATCAAATTTTAAAAGAACTTACTTAAAAGGTGCTTCACATAGAGTAAAATCATTAAAGGAAGAAAATCAATTTGCGGAAGGTCATAGGAGATAAGGAAATGAAAAGTTATTTAAATTTAAGAGATAAGATTAATTACTCAATATAAGAAATATGCATTTACACAAATTAACTCCATTAAATACAGAACCTTACATAGATGAAAATAATAAATTTTAAAACAAATAAACAATTAGTAATGAAGAATAAACTAATCCAAATTTAAGATTAATAAAGAATTCTTCTAATTAAATTTTAAGTTTAGTTTACAATCCTTAACCAATCATAAAAAAATAAGTTAGATATCCTTTATAAAATCTGTCCTAAAAGACTGAATTTTAAAATTCATTATTGGTAACTTAAGTGACTCATTCAGGTTTAAATTCACCTAAAGAATCATATAAGAAAAAGATTGAATTATCAATAATGAAGCCTTAAAATAAAAAATCTTAAAAAGACATATTTATAGATTCAATTCAAACTACAAGTTATGGATCTATTCGTATGGATACTATAGAAACTAAATATATATCTCCTAAAGCAAATATACCTACATCTTTAGATAGTACAAAAAAGCTATTGAAGTAATATTTATGAAAAATTTTATTAATATTAATTTGTCTGTTGTTAATGTTTTAAAAAACCAATTAAGTATCACCTATCAGAACCCAATCCCCAATCACTATTCATAAATTATCAAATCCATCTGTAAATAACAATTCTACATAAGCTTAATAACCTTAAGCATAATCTTATTATACTAGCTCTAAGAATACACCAATTAAACTATAAGAATAAAAATTCGAAATCATTTAATAAGGTTTAAATATTCCTACTCAATCTTAAATATCACCATAGAAACTTAAAATTACCAATAGTGATTTTGAATTATAAATGTTAAGAAATGAAATTACATTTAGAGATTAAAAAATTTAATCTCTAGAAAAAGCATTAGATTTTGCAAATGAAGATAGAACTAGATTACGTTCTGTTTTAGAATCTAAATCTATTTTATGTCTTAATAAAGAAAGAGAAATAGCTAAATTATTAGCTGCTATTCATTAGTTAGAATTTAAGAGAAATGAAAATTAAATTATCAAAGAACTCTAAACTTAAATTGAGACTTTGAAATAATTTATTCAAGAAAATGCTTTAAATAGATAAAGTTTTAAAAGTGAGGATACTATTAATCTTAAAAATAAATTAAATACTATCTAAGATCAATTAAATTAATCCATTAGATAAAACGAATCACTTCAATAATATGTTAGTGATCTTATGAAATAAAATAAAGAATTATCTTAAAAATATTAAGATAAATTTTTAGAATGCCAATAACTTTAGATTTAAATTGATTAAACATCAATTTATCATCATGACTTAAAAGAAAATAGTGCATAAGTTGATATTCATAAAAATAACATCAATAATAATAATCATTCTTAATAAAAATAATTAAATTAAGTCGATTAACAGAATGAAATATAAAAGTTCTTATCCTAAATTAAACAACAATATTTGGAAGAATCACCAAAAAGAGATATTGATGAATAAGAACCAATTAATGTTTATAGACCAATTTACAGTTTTTAATCTACAGAAGACATCCATAAAATTGAAAGATTAAATAAGTGAATCTATTATTTTAGTAACTATTTTATATATATCAATTTATTTTTGCTCTGCAGACTGGACAAGAATTGTTTATCTTTAACCATTATGTCAAGCAATCTTTATGAAAATCATGACAACAATTCATTGATAATTCCACTTCATCAATCTTAAAGTCTTCCTAACATATATAACAAGTTTTTTATTAATCTTCTATGCTTACAATATGTTCTTTTAAACTATTTATTTATAATTCAGTTGCACCTTACTATTGTTCTTCTAAAAAAAATATATTCTCTGTAAAAAGAGCTAGAATATTTACTAAATCAGAAATCTCACTAAGATTTTATATCCAATTAGTTTATCTCCTGTACTCTTATGCTTCAGGAGATACATAAATTTCAAAAGATTTTAATTCTGATTAGTTAATTTCCTAAGTCATTTATTCTAATGGACTATCGCATAATATACAATATTCCTGTTAATTCTCTTCTTATTGATAACTTCTTTAAATTATTTCCATTTTACAAAGATGACACCAGTAATTTTCAAAAGAATTTCTTCTTTCAAATGCACTTCTTAAAACTTAAAACATTTTTCGTTAATTTATAAAATTTTAATAATTATAGGTTTGAGATTTATATATATATATATAAAATTACGTTAATAAAATATTGTAACATAAATTTATTTATTAAAATTCTATCTAATTTTACATTCAAATCTAGCTTTATAATTCTACATTAACTTAGCATAATTTAGTAAATCTTAATGTAGTTTTTTGAAATAAAATTGGTAAACAAAATTTAAATTTAATTATTTACTATCTTATTAAATATTTTTTGCTTAGAATGTTAAAAATTATCAAATATTTTATATAGACTATCAATCGAATTCAGAGTATGATAGAGATGAAATTATTTGGTTCGATAAGAATTTTTATTAGTTCAATATTAATCCCCAAAAAATAAAAGTGTTCATTAAGGATTATTTATTGTTAAAATATTTATTTAACATTTTCATTTAAATAGGATCACTTTAGATTTTTGGTTGTAGATGGATACTAGCCTATTTTATAAATATATTCAGATTTGAATTGTAGCAATAAATTATTAGAAACTTTTATTAATTATCAAAAATATAAAATTGATTTATAAAATTGATTCTTCTTTATAACAGTTATTCAAATAATAGTTGGTTCTCTTTTATATTTATAGTATATTTTAATAATAAATTAAATAAAACTACATAGTAATGTTAGAAATAAAGAAGAACATTATTATTATATATAAAGATAAATGATGGATACTTTTAACAAAATTACTCATATTTAAATAAACTATTAAGATGGAGATTTTAAATATGAATTGGAATATGAAAATAAATTTCAGTTGTTTGTTTCTTAAGATTGAGCTGAATTCAATCCTACTCCTAGTACTTTTTCCATTTCAAATACTCTATGATCTAAAAGATTGGCTGATTTCTTGATTCTTGCTTTTTCATTTTTTAAGTTGTCAACTTAATTATTTAATTCATTTATTTCAGTATTTGCTTCTTCAGCTAATTTTCTAAAATTACGAGTGAAATCAGCTATCTCTTCAATAAAGCTTGTTGATGTTTCATCATTAATTGATGATTAAAGATATGATTCATGAATGATTTCCTATCTCAACATCTATAATTCTTTCTTATCTTTTTCTAATTCATGTAGTAGATATTCTAACATTATCTAGTTTTAATTACTAATACATTTAATTTTTCTTCATGTTCAGTCATTGGCAGATTCATTGAATTTTTTTAGAACAGTTATAAGGCATCTTTATAGGATTACATTGAGTTATTTAACTTAATTAAATAAATATATATATATATTATATATTATATTTAAAACTTGTATTAGTGATAAATTTGATATTAAATCAATCAATGAATAAATATAAAATAATCTATCATTATTATTAATCATTGAACATAGAATTATTTTATATTATCAATGAGAACAAATTAGATATTGTGTTTCGACCAGTTGATTCAAAAGTAAAGATTAAGTTTTAATTTTAATTTTATCTTTACAAAATTAAGTAATTTATAAAACTTGTCTAATGTGATTATAATTGTTCTAGGTATCTTAGATAATTTGATAACAAATCTTCATTAAGACTTGGTTAATATAATAAAATATCTTATAAAATAAATTTATACCTTTCCTATTTGTAAACAGTCCTAAAGTAGATAATCTTGGTGATTACATTGATATATATTCATCATATACTTTATTATATCCTTAATAATGAATCAATATTTGATTTTCTTTTTTTTATTTAATGTTCAAAATCTTACCTACACACCATATATGTTCAGAATCTAAAACATCTATTAAATCTCCTATATTAAAATTATAAATTTTCTTTTTAGCTTTCCATTCTTTTAATACTTATTTACGAGAATAATAATTATCAATATGTTTTTAAGAAGATATAATTACTTAAGATTATATAAAATTATCTATTGTTTTACAATATACAAATTATAACCCTTTAATTGTGGCAAAACAACAAGGACATTTCTAAAATTTGAGACAAATAAATACATGACTTTTTAATAAATGTTCAAATATGCACAAATAACAAAATGAATGTCCACAGAATGTTATTGTAAACTTTTGAAAATAATCTTAACATAATTTACATCTTAAATTCTTTTCTATAAATTATCCATCTAATTCAAAAACTTAAATTTAGTCAAAAAATTATACTGTTCTGTTTCATGCTATTATAATAATGTTCAATTGAGGGTTTCCTTAATTTAGATATTAATTTAATTTTTAATTATTGTTCATCTGTAAATTTAGCTGTCTTTAATTCTTTCTAGTATTCTATATTTAAAGTCATTTTTAAATGAGAGAATTAATAAATTATATAAAAATATATTACAATTTTTAAATATAAATTTTTTAAACATTTATATAAAACACATCATTCTATTTTCTTTATAAATATCAATTTAATTTTTATTTTATAGTATAAATAAATAAAACAAAACAAAATGAAAGGAATAGAAATTTGAAAAAAATAATAATTAAATTTAATGAATGAACATCAAAACCTTTGAAAGGTAATCATCAGAAAATATCTATTTGTATTAATTTATGGATTATATTATTGACTTACAAACAATATATTAAATTTAATTTATCATCTTAAAACTTTTTTAGTTAGATCATACATATGAGAATTGCATAATAAAGCAAATCGTGTCAAATGCTTTAACAAAAAAAATTTTTCACTTTTGATGAATAAGAATAAATTAATACAGCAGAAACAACACCTAATTCTTCTGGGAATTAAGAAAAACCGTAATTAGTGAAATATAGAAATCAAATACCCCCTGATTCTTAAACTGCAAGAGAGCTTCATGAAGCATCAATCTAATCACATTGGTATGTAGAAACACCTTAAGAATACTTAGATAAACGTATTGTAAAGCTCAAGAAACAAAAATGTATATATTATATATATGATTATTTATAGATGAAAAAGTTGTTGTATTAGATCTGGATGAGACATTAATTTATCATAAGCATAATAAGACTTAAGTTCGACCCTTTTGTCATGAATTCTTATTAAGATTATCAAGGATTTGTACTTTAATACTTTTCACTGCTGCTAAAAAAGAGCATGCAATAAACGTAATTTAATTGATATATTTAAAGATGTTAAAAATAATAGATCCAAATAAAAAGTTTTTTAAAGCCATATGTACATCAGAACACATGGTTGGAAATGTTAAAGATTTGAGAATTTTTCAAACTGATCTCAAAGATATTTTAATTGTTGAAAATTCTCCTAAAAAATTTATGTAAATTTATTATATAAAATAGTGCTTAAATCAATAATGGTATTCCAATCTTACCTTTTGAAGGCCAATAAACAGATAACTAACTTGAACTTTTACTTTCATTTTTAGAAATAGTTTTATTAGTTGATGACGTACGTCTTTAATTGGCAAACATCTTTAAATTATAATCTTTTTATAAAGAACTAAATGGAAAATAGGCTATAATTAAGTTATATAATCCTAATAAAATTGATTGACTTATAATTTGTAATCATTTATATTTATAATTTCTAATCATTTTTATTTATACTTAATAAAATATGTCAGATTATTATTTTTATAAACAAGAAGAGAAGCTTAAATCTAATAGAAAATCGATTAAATTTATATCAGATACAGAAGATACAAATTCTCATCCTTAATTAAGAAATGCATAACGGTTTTTGTAATTATGTAATTATAGAAAGTCAGTCGTAAACCTAAGATAATTAAAGAATTAATTTAGCTTCCTTAACCATAAATTCAATATGTTTCTTCTGTATTTATTCAGAATATTTCGAGTTTGTACCTGAACCCATTGCAATACCAGAGGCTATTAAAAATATTGATAAAAAAATATAGGCATATCGTAAATTAATGGAATTATCAAAAAAATAAAAAGAATTATAGGAATCATTAATAAATATAGAAGAAGATGGATTTGTTTAAAAATAAATGGTTGATTTTTTGACCAATCCAAATATACAATTATAAAATTAATAAGATAATGATAATGAAGAAAAATAAAATTCAGTTTAAAAAAGTGAAGATGAGAAATATAAAAATTAACCAGATACATCTTAATAAGAAAGTTTTAAGGCTCCTAGAAAATAATACTATTCTGAATCTGTAAAAAATCGAGATAGTATATATGATAATATGATTGAACGACTCTACCAAAAAAGATAAAATCCAGCTATGTTTGCAGTAATAATTAAATATTTTAATAATAATTAGAAACTTAAGAAAAAACCTCCTGTTTTGAATATAACATCAAAAAATAAAATATAATCAGGAAGTGGAAGGATGGATATAGAAGAACATAAATTAAGAGTTTATAATAGAGAGAATGTTCCAACTATGCCAGAATTAATAATTCCAACTTTTATGATTAAAAAAGATTCCATGGCAAAAAATATACTTGCATATTTAGTATTTATATTGATTTAGTTTATAGAAAGATTATTCACCAATTTATAGATAATAGAATCATAATGAATATCCAAAATGTGTATAAAATATTTTAGAAGAAGAGGAAGATGGTAAAAACAATTAAAAAAAATGAATAAAAATTTATTTAAAAAACATAACACAATTAATTTATTAATTTAATAAATAACAATATAAGAAATATATATGCTTTGATCAATCCTGCAATTAACTGTTAATTTAAGGATTTATTGTATGAGAACTGCATTTTCTTTTTGAGTTCTTATCAGGAATAGAATCAGAATCTCCTTCAATTTCTACATTTTGTTATTTTATTTGACTTTATTCTTCATTTGATTTTATTTCAATTTTTTATTTATTGTTATTTTGATCATCTTCTTAATCTAATCTTGGATTTACTTAAGCTCTTTTAGTTTTTTTTGAACTACAACTAATTATAATATAATTAGAAATATTACCAAAATCTTTGAGGAGTTTCTATTTAAACTTGTTATTAAAATCTTTATTATCTATTTTACATAATCCATGCATATGTTGTAATTCCTTTAAATTTTAACCAGAAATGAAAAATCATTAAATTAAAATTGAGCATAAATAAGAGACTAACAAGGCCAAGATTTATCCAAATCCATATCATCATTTTGGGAGATTCAAAAAAATAGGAGAAAACAGCAAAAATAATAAAGATAACTCCAAATAGAGAAACAAAAACTAATAATTTGAAGAATTCTTTATAATTTTTTTTGCCAACACAATTATTTAACCATTTGCAATGATGATCAAAGTCTGATACGCATCTGTATTTTATAAATATTTACCTTTCACAAACCTTACAATGTTTAGTTGTACCACTAACATAACTATCACAATATTAACAAAAATAATCATAGAGCTCTTATTCTTATCCACTAAATTTAAATGAACAATAGATACTTATTAAGACCATTTCTTTACTAGATAATAAGATCATCTGTTGGATCTATGTAGGATGTTTTAAAAGCATAGATAAATATCATAAAGGCCAAAAAGTAGAATAAAGATGCTAAAATAATCTGGTTAACAAATTTTCTTACTTATACTATTAAATTAGTAATTGGAATTATTGCAATGGAGACACAACATAATAACTGAATGAAAAATATCAAAGTAAACACTTAGAAAGGGTGTTTTGGTCTAGTAAAACCATTTATAATTTTATGTTCTCTAGTGTTAGTAATCATTAAATTAAATTAATGAAGATTCTTCGTAAGGTGAAATTCTTGATAATTGATTTTATTATATGATAATTAATATCAATATCATCTTCCAGACCATGAAGCAACTTATTTTTTGAACATAATAATGACTTCATCAAGAATGGCATTTTCTTCTTATCTTTTAGCTTTGGCTTCAGCATAATCAGCTCTTTTAGATTCTAAATCAGCTTAAGCTTAATCTAAAGCATCTTGAGATTCTTATAAGATAATCTTTGATTTAGCTTATTATGCAAAAGCAGCTTAGATTTACTAAAATTATATAGATATATATTAAATTACAGTAGCAGTTCTGTCAGCAAAGACTTATTTTCTTTCATATTCAACTTCTAATGAAGAAATTTCAGCTTCAGATAATGAAACCCATCCAGCTAATTCCCATGATGCATTAATTTCATTTTATTTTAAGTTTTCTAATGAAGCTTCTAATTCAGATTCTAATCCTTCAAGAACACTCAAGACTTTTTCAGCTAAAGTATTTCCTTAACCGGATGTTGTTCCTTCCTTTAAAAATATAATATTCTTTTTATACTTCTTATGAATTAGCTAAAGCTAAAAAGGATTTAATTTAATGGTCTTAAAATAAATTACTATATTATTTCAATTTCTCAGCAACAGATTATGCTTTAACTTATGTAAATTCAAATGAGTCTCCATTTATAATATAACCAGCTACATCTTATTTCAATAATCTAATGACTTCAAGAGCTTCTTGATTGTGTTTTATTGATTTAACAAAAAGTTAATTACTAAAGCATTAATTATCTTATAATGCATCAACTTTTCTTGCAATTTCATCTCTTCTAGCTTCATTCCATGCCAAATAATTCTTTGTTTATTTTAGAACCTCTTCATAGTTAGCTCTATTCTCTATTGCTTAATTAAAAAGTTTTTAGTTAAGACTTTTAATCTTTGTGAATTATTCAATAGTTCTAAATTTATTATTATTATTATTTACTATGCTCCAACCCATTCATCTGTTTCATTCTTTTAATCTGCAGCAAATTGAGCATCAATATTTGATTGCTTCAAATCATTTAGTAATCCAAAAACTGTATCAATAGCATCACTTGCTTTTGTTCCAGTCTATCATCCTAAGCAATAATCTTACTTATAATAATGCAAGGATTTAATCCTATGTCTTTGAACCATAACTTGTTGCTGCAAGAGCGAATAAAACAACAATAATGAATTTCATATAATTATTAATCAAAAACGTACTCTCATTAAAAACGATAAATATATACAAAAATTATCCCCATAATCTACTCTTTAAATACAAATTTAAATAATTATAATTTATTAATCAAATCCCTATCAATCATTGATATTGGTTATCCCTAAATGAACTTGTATCTGCCTGGGATTTACTTCAATTAATTTTTATTTTTATATGTACATGACCAAGTTAAGATTTCCAATTTATTGGTGGAACTCCTTAATTCATTTTTGAAAAGAGTATCCTTAGCAGTTTCTTTTTCTCCTCTAAATCCAAATCATTTATATCATACTATTTAATTCCAAACTTTGAGATTTCTATGATATATCTGTAATCTACTGTTCTTTAAATTTTTATTCTTTTTCTTAATCTCAATTTTAACTTAATCTATTGCCTAAAGGAAAAATTATTCTATATCTGATCGCTAATCTAAAATCATTTAAGCTAAAGTCTTTACTGTCTTCAATTCTTTTGTTCTTTAATGAAGAAGATGTCTCAAATTTCTTAATTACATTTCTAATTCTTAAACTTTTGTGCTACTCTAATGCTTTATTATTTCAATCTCTTTCGTCTATTTTGTAACTTTCTAATATTTGAATCATATTATTGTTACATTTCCAATATAAGATTTCAAATATTCAATTTTTTCTTTCAATTACTTTATTTTTATGATTTATTTATGATTTATCATTTAATATCTAATTATATATATCTAATTTTATACTATTAAGCTTACTCTTCCTTTATACTTAGATTTAATTTATAATTTATATTTTCCTGTCAAAAGGTTTCTTTATCTTTTTAATTTATTTGCAATGTTCTTTCATATTCCAACAATTCACTCTTTATTTTTTCATTTCCTTAAGTATTCCATCATATTTAGCAGCTACTTTTTCTTCTGCTAATTTATTTGCATTTCTTTATACATCTTCTATCTTAGTATTATTAACATTTGTCAAATTTTGAGTGTACTTTAGAAAGTTTTTATTATGCTTTGCTTGATTCATCTAAATGAGCATAATCTTTTTTCATCATTTCCTCTTTTAAATCATGAATTTCTTTTATTAAATTTTCTTTTTCTTCCTAAATATATATATCTACTTTAAATTAACTCCACTTTTTCATTATAATTCATCTTTATGTCTAATTTCTAATTCAGTTTTCTCTTTTTCCAAATCTAATTTTTTCAATAATAAAATTACATCTTATTTTTTCATCTTTTCTTTATATGACACTTTCTATTTCTTCAGTTATTTATTTTTTTAAATGTTCATATTACTATAATAGTGCATTTTATTCACTCTCTTTTTTATTATATCAGATTCCATTTTTAAAGTTAAAGCCAACTAAACATTATTTCATATTTGCTTTACATTTTATTCATTTGTTATTCTGACATTTTCATTTAATTTATAAATCTTTTTCTATAACTCCTCTATACAATCTTATATAACTTAAATTTCAATTAATAAATGAGAATGATCTCTATTGTATTTTTTAAAAACAATTTTTACAATTTTTCTAGTGCTTTCTTTTCAGCTTTTGTAAATTCTACTACTTCAATTAATTATTTTTTCTTTGCCATTTTTTAATATATTTATAAAAAAGATAGAAAAATATAAATATTAATTAGAAATTATGTTAAAAAAAATATCAAAAATCAAATACTTATTATATTGTTAAACAAACTAATAATTAAATTTGAAAAGATAAATGATTTAATATATATATTTTGTCTTAGCTCTTTTACTTAAATCTGTAATATTTAAACTTATACTTTATATTAAATTTTATAATTTATTAAAAATATTATGAAAATTTGACCAAAAAATGAGTTCGTTAATAATTATAATGACAGAAATTTCAGCATCTATATAGATTAATAATAATAATAAATGAAAGATAACAATTTATCAAAATAGTTTCATGACTTTTCAAGTTAAAACTAAAATGACAAAAGAAAGGACAATTCTGCATTTCTAATTTAAAAAGAATCCAAAAGATTAATTTTATAAGTATTTAATCTGTTAAATTAAGTTAGAATGGTGATTTACGTTCTAAATAACATTATAATACTCAATTTTCAAAAAAGAATCTTTCAAAAACAATTACAGAAGATTAGAAGCAAGATGATGGTTTTGTTGATAATTTTTCTATTCATAACTTAAAAAATTAGTAAGTTTCAAAAGATAAATCATTATGTTTAGAAATAAATAAAAAATCAAATGAGGTTCAAACATCAAAATATTATTTGAATAATCAAATAAATGATTAATTTACATTGAACTAATAATAGTCTATAAAAACTATTAATAAATCTCTTAATATTATAAATACAGATCCTAAAAAAGTAGCATTAGTTTCAGATAGTATATTTTAGGATACTTCAAAAAAGAAAAAAATTGAAAATTAAGAATAATAAAAAAAAAATAAGTTACCAAATAAAGAAATTAAATAATCTTTATTTTTAATGGAATAAGAGTTAGAAAGAAAGAAATTAGAATCTTTAGATAATATATATTTATAAGAACAAGGATAAAAGTAAGTTGATGAATTATTAAATGAAGGGAATTAATTCTGTTCCATTTAAATATAGAAAAAAAAGAGTAATGAATTAAAACGTACTATATAATTTAAAAGCAGTTTTGAAGAACATTATGATAATTATTAATATGCTGACAATAAAGTATTTGAATACAATAAATTACTCAAACATATATTTATGAAAGATTATTTTGAGACTAAAAAATAAGAATTTGAATTTAATAAAATACCTAGTCAATTTTAGAGTAGAGAATAATATAGTAGAGTATTTTAATAATTTTTTTTACATGAAGCTTGTGCTTAAATAAAACAAAATTTAATCGAATTTCTATTTAAAATGGATAAAAATAATAAATATAGAAAAATTTAAATAAAGTTAGATGATTAAGAAGTTAATAGAGATGGAACTATATTTTAAATAAGAAAACTATTTGATGAATAAAAATTAGAATAAAATTAAACTAAAGAAAATGATATAGATGATAAAGAAACTTAAGGTGTAAAAAAAATGAATTTTGAAGATATAAAAGATGGATATTGTGAATTAACATCATTAAAAAACTATTTGATAATTATAAGCAACAAATTTTAAATTAAGTTAAGTTAGTTAAATGAAATAAATGATAAAAAAATGCTTTTTTTTGGAATATTAATTGAGCCTCAAAAAGCAAGTTCTCTTTAATAGATGAGAATTCAAAGCTTTATAAATAGATCATAAATAATTCCGTCTAAATGGTATAATGTTTTTTTAATACCATTTATGAAGATAACTACTTTAATTAGAGAGTTTTAAGCACTTACATAGTTACGTTATATGATGACACCATTAATTAATATAATATATGATCCAAATAAATAATAACATTTGTTAGGAACTGAAATAGGAGGTTCATGGACAGCATAATTTAGTAATTAGATATCAAATAGTGAATGTTTTAATAAGTTTTTTAAATTGGTTGATTAAAGATATAATTAAAGTTAAGCTAAATCTATAAAGGAAATATTATAATAAGAGAAGGGTATAAGCTTACTTTAAGGGCCAGTAAAATTTATTGAATAAACCTTAGCCTGGAACCGGTAAAACTTAAACTTTGATTGGTCTATTATCTGGTGCTTATGAATATATGAAAATAACAGATAAATTTCCAAGGAAAAAAATATTAGTATAATTTTAATTTGATAATTAGATATGTGCTCCATCAAATGCAGCTATTGATGAAATCATTTTAAGAATTATGAGATAAGATAGTTTATTTGATTCAGAGGGTAAATCTCCATAAGTTAAACTTATTAGAATAGGATTAATAGATGAAGAAAGCGATTATTCAGATACAATTAAAAAAGTCTCTTTAGAGTATTTAGCTTAAAATATGCTTTTAAAATCAAATATTGTAAAATAAGGATCAAATTAAAAAACAACTGCTGATTTAAGAATAGATATTTGCAAAATTTAAAACTAAATTAAGAAAATATAAAAGAAAACTTTAGAACCTTAAGATATTGAATAAATATAAATATTGAAATAAGAATTATAAATTAAGCAACAACTTTTAGAAAGAATGAAAGCAAATAAAATATTATATAAAGAATCATATAATTAATTTTGTGAAAAGATATTAAATGAATGTGAAATTATTTGTAGCACTTTAAATTCAAGTGGATCTGATAAATTGCTTAAATATATGGATTAAATTGAATTATTGATAGTAGATGAAGCTGCATAATGTACTGAACCATCAAATATTATTCCATTAAGATTGGGTGTTGAAAAAATGATTTTAATAGGAGATCCAAAATAGTTGGCTGCAACTACTTTCTCTTTAAAATCAAGTTAAAATTTATATAATAGAAGTTTATTTGAAAGAATATTAGATAACAATTTTTAACCTTATTTCTTGAATATTTAATATAGAATGGATAGTGAAATCAGAAAATTTCCATCTTTTGAATTTTACTAAAATAAACTTACAGATCACGAATCAGTATTACATAGAGAATTACCAGAAAATTATTTTAAAAGATCAATGTTATTTTTAGATATTATTGATGGATAAGAAAAAAGAGATAACACTTCTTTTGTTAATGAAAAAGAAGCTAATATAATTATTTAATTATTATAAAACATAAGAGAATAATTTGAAAATTAAACTATAGGTGTTATCTCATCATATAAAGCATAAGTTAAATTAATTTAATCTTTATTTAAATAGAACAAATCAAATCTAAAAGATATTGACAACAAAATATTAAGTGTTAATACAGTTGATTCATTTCAGGTATATATTAATCTAAAATTAGGGTTAAGAAAAAGATATAATCCTATTTAGTTGTGTTAGATCATCTGATTGTAAAGGAATAGGATTTTTAAATGATGGAAGAAGAATTAATGTTGCATTAACAAGAGCTAAATATGCTCTTATTGTTGTAGGCAATGGATTAACAGTATATTTCTTTTTATTATTTTAGCTATCGAAAGGATAGCTATGGAGGAACTTTTTATCAAATATGTAAGAAAGAGAACTTTACAGAAAAATAGAGACTAATGAAAAATATTCATTTTAAAGAATTCTTAAAGATGAATGGGAGGAAGCTGATAAATAAATGTCAGATCAGTTAATTGAAAATTTAACATCCAATGAAATCTATAAATTTTGATCTTTATTTAAAGTATTTTTTTCATTTTATAATAAATAAACTAATAATAAACTGTTCTATTCATTTTTAAATTAATCAGGTAGATATTATAAATTTATCATTCAATGTAAAACTTCTTGTTAAAAAATTTAAGACAACTCAGTAAATATTTTAGGTTTTAAACACATTAAAGCTACAATTTACATTGCACTATAGTCTTTATAAATTTCCCATTCTAATTACAAATTATCAAAGGATGGATTTTTTTTATTTTATTTATCTTCTGCCATTTATTTAAGAGTATCATGAACTAGATTTCTAATTTATCTTCCTGCCATTACACTCTTTAAATTCTTATGATTATATCTATTATTTGCAGCATTATCCTATAATGAGAATTATGCTTTTTAAATATAAAAAAATAAAGAGTGTTATAACCCTGAATTCTTCACTACTTTTTAAGATTTAGAAAAATATCTATAAATTGAATATTATATCATACCTTTTATACGCTTCCATACATTCATTAAATAATTCCATCTTTAAATATTTATTATTTCTATAGGAAGTTAATTGATATCTCATTTATTAATTTTCATATTTGATTTAAGTAATTTAAGGATCAGTAAATTATTCTTACTTTTAACTAGATTGACTTAATGGTTTTTATGGATAGAATGTAGTTTATTATTAACTTCTTTAAGTATCTGAAGTCTTCTTTTATTTTTTCTATTGATGTCTGGCAGCATTAATTTCTCTTAAAAGTACAAGATTCTTTGAATTTTATTTATTTAGTGCGGCATGTTTATACTCAATAACTTTTTTAAGATTTTTGCATTTTTTAGTATGTTCTGAAATTTAGTATTATAACTTATTAATATTCTCTGTTAATGCTTCACTATAGGTTTTATAGTTATTAACATCTTCAAGTACTTTTCTTATTTCTACACTTTTTTCAATTTTATCTTGTAATTCCAACAAAGATAAATTATACTTGATTAAATTATTCTTTGCCCGCTCAAGAGCTTACATAATTGATCGATATCTGAAATAATAAATTAGAAAAAACACCTTTTGCCTAAATACTAATCTTGTTTCTCTCTTGTTTCATCAATCGTTGGTTAAAAATGATCTAAATACTCATCAATTTTTTATTTATCTTCTTGTCTAGAATCTACTAATTTTCTATATAAATTCTTTTCACTACTTGACAATTTCTCTATAATTAGGTGAAGGTTTCAAAGGTTCAGGTACGTAATATATTTTTGTTGCTGACATAAATTAAATTATTAGATTATATTCTTTTTATTATATATATTTTACATAGTTTCAGAAAAAATAAAAAATTACTTCAATATTAAACTCACATTTTTTATGTATGAAGAATAAAAATTCACAATTTTGTTTTTTGTGATGATTGCTATTCTAAACTTTCTTTATTTTCTTAAACTTTTTTTGAATAAATCTGCATTTCCAGTATGATATTCATTTTTTTCTGTAAAATCATTAATTTTATTCCAATTTCTTTAGGCTTCAGTTATTTAAACAGGAAGATCTAAAGAAACTCTTTGAGATCTTTATGATCTAAATCTTGAGAAAAAGGTTCCTTAAGATTCATATATGTTTCCATTATAATCTTTATTTGTTTTCATATGTTAAAACAGCTACTAGAATAAAATAGAAATATAACATATGGATATAAAATTATTTGAATTAATTCCATTAAATTTATCAATCGATTCATAAATTAATTTAGATGTATTAATAGGAACTAAAACATTGCATAATATATTTCTTCTTTCTCCCAATTTAACTAAAGTTAATGTAAGTCCAATAATTCTTGCATTAGCTGCTGCATAATTAGATTATCTTAAAGATCCTAATAATCCTGATTCACTAAATAGACTTAAATATAAGGAACATTTTCTGTGATTAAAGCAGTTTA